ATACTTACTGTTGCCACGGCTAGAAATATAAATAGCAACCTTCGTAATAAAACTTTCAGCAGTATGATGAAAAAGTAAAAGCTCTAGATTTGTGTTAAATATCTATTATCATCAAATAAAGCCAGAAAACACTGTCGGATCTGACCTGGAAGCTTTAGTAAAACGTTTAGTTTTCTTTGCACTCGCCATTTATGAAGAATATTTCAAAGCAACAAATTTTAGCCATTATAATTTAAACACTGTTTAACTGTGTACAAAATGTTAAAAAGACATTAAAACACACATGTCTGTATTCAACCAATTTATGATAATAGTCAAAATAAAAGGAGTACAAAACAGATTAAATAAAGCTTCGATTAAAAATTCTCACACAAAACAAAAAAGGGGAGAAGAAATGTGTTATTGAGATCCAAAACATTCGTTTTTATATTATAATATATTCATTATATAAAATATATAAAGAAACATATTAAATATGTGGTTTACAACACAATTTTATACCTCTTCTAGCATACGATGTATAAATCTCCTAGCGAAGGTGCCAAACAGCCAAATTCCTGTGCAGAATGTAGTTTCCGGTTTTAATTTGGATTCTACCTTTTGTTTCTTATTCTTTAATTTCAACAATTTTTATTTATTGAATTTTCTTATAGCGCTATGGAGCCTCTGGAAAGTACATACTACAGAACTTTTGGGAAGCCTTACTGCTGGATTAGACCTTTAGAGAAGTGGAAAATTGTGAAGGTTTAAATTTGCAAATGTATTTACGAAAATCTGGTCAATACAGATTAATCACTGGAGTAATGAACCTGTAAAAGTTGGTAGGGTAATTATAATGATAACAGAACCATCTCTAAAATTATCGGAGCGAAGGGTAAGAATATAATTTAGACTTTATATTAGATTTAGAATATAAAAATCCAATAATAGAGCTATAAAGATGGATCACTTTTTACTTTTGGTAAAAGAGGAAAATTAAATTTTAACTTATTTTATCTATTTAATATTGTGTTTATCCTTTCTGTCTTGGATATAATTATTTTATTAGTTTTGTATCATGAAATTGTTCACAAAGTGATGTTGCAAAGTTACCATCTGGAGGTCCATAGAGCTTCCATTTTACATTAATTTTAGTGAAGAAAATATTTTTGTTTTATGAACATTTCTGATGACAAACAGTTTACAGGAATAAACTACACTATATAAAAACTATATTCATAAACCCAGGACTCACTATATTCTACGATGTAATGCAAATATGTGTGTTAAAATGTGGTGAGAATTCACACACCCCTATTCTACACTATGTTATTTTAAGTACGTTCTTTTCGTTTTTCTTCTTTCATATTGTGCCGTCCGTTGCCAGCGTCTAATTGCGGAATATGCTGAATGGTTGTATTTTTATCATATTCCTTAGTTGTGATTTTACAACTCTTAAGTCACCCTGGGTAAGAGACAGTGCAACTGATTCAACTGCACCGGATAGCAGAATTTTTTCCAAGAAGCAAAATATTTAGAATTTACGAAGGCAATGGGTGACAGAACTTAAACATTGAAATTTTTAGAGCTTAGGGAGACACCGGGCAGCAAAAATTATAATTCACAAAAACTATACCAGATGGCCAAAGGGACACATAGTATAGAATCTCTGCACCTGTAAATGTTTTAAGTAATTCTAATGATTTAGCTCTATTATAAATAGCTAATTTAAATGAATGGCACAATAGTGTTCCTGTCCGCTAGGTTCCTGTCTGTCCTCATTTGTTACTGGTGCGGGTGTAGCCCAATTTTATAATCACAGGACGACTGTTTGGGATGCCAGGTAGGTTGTGATGTACCCTTATTGAATGAACTCCCTTCTAACTTGAAATTTTTATTACAGAGTTTTCATTGAAATTTAACTTTTGATTTACCTAATCAAGAAGAGCAATTTCTCTGACCAAATATAATGATCTAATTCTCATATTTAAATAAGAGTAATGAAATAATTTTATATATAATTACAAAATACAACGCAATAACTAAGCACAACATGAAAAATTTAATTTAACTTACTTATTACCATGAAGCAATTAAAAAAAAAAAAAAAAAAGAGATACAAAACTCTAGAAAAAATTACTCATTCTACAAAAGAATTAAAAACACTACATCGTTCATAAGAAATATAACTCTTTGTGCTTAAAACTGCACTAGATTAAAAAACTGTGTAATAATTATTTGTTATAATGTGCTACTACATAATAATGTCTTAATTACACTATTAGGAAATTTCAAAAGCTGTTCCAGGAAAATAAAAAGAAGTTTCGATTTTCCCTTAATATTTTTCTCTTCCCAATTTTTTAGGATTTTCCAGGAGAAAGTCCTATACTAAGAAATATTGATTGCTATACTTCAAAGAAATTCATTATTACGTTGAACAACAATAGGATAACAGAAGATACTTTAATCTTTTAAAGGGGAAGAAAAGTTTTTAAGCAAATTAAATTTTATCAATATTAAATATGATAAAAGCTTTAAAAATAATAAAAAGATTGCATAAAAGTAAAGGGAAAAATGTTATTTATTTTGTGAAATGGTATCTAACATTTGTCCTACTATTTCTATAAAAATATTTTTGATTTTGTGAAAAACATACCATTGTATTGAATAATAAACCACATAAAATAATTATACTGTTTAAAGTAAAAAACAATAAATAAATCAATAGTGATTTCAAATGTTCCACCTTATGCCATTTTCTATCCTTTTCTCTTGCAACACACACCATTTGCCATAAAAATACAAAGATTTATGGGTTGGACAATTTTTACCCATTCAATCTTCCCACATTTAATTGCATAAACTGCATTTTTAGAAATCCCTTATATGAGGAAAATATGTTTAGAAGAATAAAGTATCCTATGTATATGTAGATTATCTCACTATATATTAGATACAATTTGGTTGTGCCATTAATTTTGCATTCACCTGTATATCTCAGATATTATACAGGGTGCATCTAAAAAAGGGGGCAAAACTTTATAGGGTGATAGAATTCAGCTATACAAGCAATTTTCATCATAGAATGCAAGTATTGAGAAGTTAAAAATCAGTTTTCCACTGTCGCATTAAAAGAATTAACACAAGAATGAGAGGAACTACTTAAGAAAACATTTTATTAACAGGAATGTAATTGATGTACATGCTCAAAGAAATTCTAAAAAGATCTTTCACCAGCTGTAATGCAGGCTTCACACCTGCTGGATACAGACTGACCCACATTTGTGAAGAAACCAGGCATTTCCTGAGCATAGCTGGTAACAACTACGATCCTGGCGACTACATCCATTTTGGTTTCAACGGGCCACTCATAGATTAGGCTTTTCATATGACCCCACAGGAAAAAGTCCAAACACGAAAGATTGGGTGGTCTTGGTGACTAAGTTATGGGGCTACCTCAACCAATCCAGGGCCAAGGAACTTTGCATTTAAAGTGTTCCGCACATCCAAGCTGAAGCACATGATCTTGCTGGAACCACATTCTCAACCAGTTGGAGTTGGAATCAAATGTAGCAGTTCCGGTAACACCTCAAGTAGGGATGTGAGATATGATTCACCATCCAGACAGTGTGGCAGGAGGCATGGACCAATCAAGTGGTGATGGAGGATTCTGCACAAACATTTACGGTGAACTGCCACTGAAATGTATGAGGACGTGTGGCATGCAGGTTTATAGATGTCCACGTGTTTGAGTCGTGAGTATTAAAAATGTCCTTTAGTCTATGACTTTTTGAAGGTGAATAAACTTGTGGATCTCACCTGCAGAAGCTGGACTTGAGAATTAGCAAGAACAACAAAAATGCCCTTAGGGCTGATGGGCACTTGAAGTACAGTGAATACTTGGTTGAAGGGTCCAGGAGGATAGCTGGAAAGGATTCAGTACACCTAGGTGCGAGGACTGACCCTTTTTATACCATATTTACCATGCCACATAACGGCTCACCATTTGCATTCCGCCCAAACATTGTATGATGAATATTGCTTATATAGCTGCGTTCTATCACCCCACAAAGTTTAGCCCACTTTTTCAAATTCATCCTGTATATCTCATAATCACTTTCACTAAGTATTTGATTAGTTAAATGGATAAAACCAGTTAATGACAGAAACCAAAAATTGAAATAAATTTCCAAAATTAATACATAACATGGGCATAATAAGCTGAAAGAAATGTAATAATTGTATAAGTTTGATGCATTTAAAAGCTCATTTAAGTTTGGTTTATTTGATTACAGCAAAGCACACTTCAGCTGTCTCTCTAAAGGGAGGATTTTTTTAAAGGAAACTGCCTCATATACGCGTCACACATGTAAGCACACCATGAAAACTCCTATCTCAGTCAGCCTGATCACTTGGAATCAAACCCAGGTCAAACTACCTGAGTTCAACGACTTCACCACTCAGTTGCTGGTACCCAAAACTCATTTAAGAGTCAACAGATGAGATGATTGCATATGAAGGTAAATTCAGTGCACACTAGGTAAAATTCAAACTTTGGCATTAATTTAATTAAAACGGGTAACTGTATTTTGAGGAGTCTCTCTTCTTTAAGAGCATACCACTGTTCTCTAATTAAGCATGGTTTCTCATGTAACAAAGTTTCAAGGATTGTTGAGGTGGGAAGAAAAGATAATGTGAAACTTTTAAGTTTTTTGTAGATATGTTAACATTTTTTCATAAATAATAATATTAGAAGAATTGCTAGAATATTAGATGTGGTAAAATTTAGTTTACATTCTAATGATGCTTATCGTAATATCTCATTTAATATCATATTAAACATCAACAACAGAATGTAAACAAAATTTTGCAATTAAGTTGAAATTGTAACACCAGAATTCTCAGCATTAAAAATGTATATTTGATCTGCTGTACTGGTAGGCCAGTTCTTGTAGGACTGAAGAACTTCTGTGGATTTGTATGAAAAATGTTCAGAAAATTCAATAAATGAGAATAAATAATTTCAGTCAGTTACTTAACAACAATTTTATTACTTTTTATGTAACTGCAACTTCATCACATGAGGAAAGCCAACTTATTCCCGATAGAAGAGGTTCCTTGTCAAAAACTTAATTATTTAAAGAATTTAATATATACAAATGGGATAAATTTTTCAGTCATACAATTTGTGATGTGTGATGTTTAGTCTCCTGTGATAAGAAAAAGTCAAAAATATCATTTATCATAGGAAAACTTAAACTGTCAAATCATCTGCTTTTTACATTTTTTTCTCTTTTTCAGAGCAGTATAAGTACAATTGAAAAAGCCATTTTAACAGGAAAGTATCAGTCACATGTATTTCAGATACATATGCAACAAACATACAACAACATTAGTTTTCTCATTTTCAACTTTCAAATTAACAGGTAAATTTAAATGAATAATTTTAATTAAAATATGCAATTTATATAATGTCTTAAAACAGACCAATCATCCATTGATAAAATTTTGCACATTACCACACGATGATGTCTGCTTCATCATAACCAATGCTGCTACAGGTTCAAATACCTGTCCAGTGAAAGAACATATGCTGCTAAACAATAAATGCTTTTAACTACATATGCATTTAACATTCATATAAAACTTTTTACCTTCGAACCTGTAACAGTATTTTTTTTTACATAACCAACATTAAAAAAACAATTTATAATACAATATACACATGCACATAAAAACATGTAAAAATCACATTTGCGATGAAATGGACAAATAATGATCATATTTACAAATACATTGTCAATGTAATGAAGACTTGTGATTTTTTTTAATTGGTTTTGTTCCGGTTAAGTAAAATGTCTTAAACATGGTCATTGTTTAAAATATAATAAAACTAAAAATGATTGCGAAAAGATGAAAAACATTTTAGCTTACTGTCATTTTAAAGTGATGACTGGTGAAATATTAACAAAAATATTTACTAATTATTTAAATTTCTGGTCCACACATTTGAAGGTGAAAATTCAGAAACAAAAGAAAAATACTGAAATTGTTTAATGAAACTGAAATCAAATTTAAAATAAAGAAAATACTCTTTGCAATTACACTGAAAAACACAGTAGAACCTCAGTTAGGTTTAAGAGTTGCACAACTCAAGACAGCTTCATATTTTTTTATCAATTACAGCATTTGATGTATTTGCAGAATATACAACAAATGCTCTAATTTCAATTTTCAGCAACATAACAAATATGGTATTTTCTAATAGATCGGGGTGCGGGATATTATTTTAAGCAGATTTTATTTGACTTTTAATTGAAATTTAATAAAAAATAAGCTTTAGTACATGCATACATGGAGATGTCTCTTTATTGATCTGTTAATGGGGAAAAAGAATGGTATGATCAAACAGCTACGTTCTTGTATTTATTTCAGAAATGGATTACACAAAATTATAATTTTAATATTTTTCATTGATATATTTTCATACTGTATTTATACTGTTCATGTCAATCCTAAGTGTTTTAGAACTAACTATTACTTTTCCAAAAAATTCTGCAGAATATTAAATTGGAGCAAATTTCAAGGGGAGAAAAGTGATTATGAGAGTTCCAATTCAAACCCTTTCACCTTCTCACCAACATATGGTTTACATTAAAATATTTATTTAGTATGTTTTATTGGTATATTTATGTTACTGTAATTTCTTGCTTACTTTTAAAAATTTTGCTAAGGAAAATGACTTTTGCAGGAATAAAAAAAGTTCTATTTTTCCAACTGAAACAAATTTATGTCAAAATTTCTAATTTAACTAAAAATTTCTAAATTTCACTAAAATTTCTAATATTTAAAGATACAGCAATTCAAGTATTTTATTTAACTGAGGTAACACTGGAGTTTGTTAACAGACAAACAGATTTTTCAGTATGTTTAAAAAATGATAAAACCCAATCTTTTTTCTTTTTTGATTTCTGACTTTTGCATTATTTTCTCTTAAAAACTTTATTCTCTTGTACACATTATACAGAAAAGATTACAACTTTTTCAAGAAATCCTATAAATAAGTGTCATAAAAATGAAACATAAAAAGCAAGCTTTAGTTCCATAAATTAGGTCATTGAGTTAATCCATAAAAATATTTAATGTTCAAGCCTTTTTTTATACCCAATATTTTTAACATTTATAACAGAATATTATCATAATAAAAGGAGCTGATTTTAAATAAAATGAATTAATATCACAAGCAGGCACCATTTTTATGCATTCTAGACTTTAACACTAGAAGTCTAGTAACAGCATTACATAGACAAAATAGGTTCATACCAAACTTTAACTACAATATTTTCCTGTGAATATACAAACCAGCACCATCACAATAGCTTCCCTTCGAAATGGCTTTTCTTATATATAAAAATAGGGTTTTCTACATGGCAAAAGACACCCAGATAGTACATACATTATACACGCATTATTTATGTACACTGTACAAGAAATCAAAATGCGTTGCACAAATCTACGATGGCTTTGCAGTTTTTTTTTTTTTTTTTTTTTTAAATTTATTTATTTTTGTTTTATGTATGTTTCCATTACTACTTAAGCTTTAAGCGTGCTGAGACATGTAATATACATTAGAATTGAAATTTTTTTTTAAATTAAGCTATTTTGATTAGTAATTCACTAGTGGTTCTCCGTTTTCATTACAAATTCTTTACAAAGAATTCAATTTATATTATACTTGCTTATTTGGAAAAGAAGGTTAGGTATTCACAGCTAATTGCACATGATGAAATGTATCCAAGTTATAAAAGATATGAAAATTTTCATAACATACATAAAAATGTTTTTTTAAAAAAGGTTTTCCTTTTTGTTCTTTTAGTAAAAGAAGGGTTTCTTGTTTCATTCACAGATCAATAAATAAAGAGTTATTTTAATATACTACATTCATTTTTACAAACTGAACTCAACATTTAGATCTATCTCGCAATAAATTACAGCAATATGAAAGTTTTCATTTAATACCTGACAGTAATAAGCAATTTGAAATTCATTACAATACAGTGAACCACTGATTTAGAACATCTGAATGCATTAATTACATTTGTCAAAACACATAACCATAATTTAAAACATGTTATTACCATTTCTGCACAAACAAAACTATATTGTACAACAATAAGAGAAAAATATCAATAAGCTGACAAGTATAAGTAAATGGGAACTATTCTTAATACCATAACAATTAAACATTCAGATTATGATGCTCATCTAAATACTACACAATCGTGATCAATTTCAAACAATTACTTCATGTATATTAAATAGGACTAAAACTTCCCGAAATGCTGTATTCATTTTTACATAAACCTTTGTATTGCATAGATAAGATGGAAGTCATTAACAGTGATAGTCTTTGGACATGTATGGCACACATGGAAAAGCAATAAGTATGAGATGTTTTAAAAATTTTCTCTTCAAGCTATAAGTATTTAAAATATCCCTACTGGGGGAAAAAAATTCTGACTTCACTGATCATGCATTCATTTATTAATTAAAAGAACTAATAGCTCTTTTACTAAAAACTAGGCTGCATTCTTTTGTTTCATTCACATGAAATGAATCACACACATATAGAAACATATGGCACATTGTACTTGTAAAAAAGCATTTAAAGCTGTGATATGAATATTTGGCAACAAGCAAGGTTGAAAGGAGGTGAAAAAAATGGCACAATAACTGGCATGTAAATCGCACCCAACTGAAATTTAAATTTGGATTATTATAAGATGTGAGGAACAAAATTTTGCCCTGAAATAGACTAAAAATAAAATATAAATTCGTTCTGAAATGAAATTTTTAAAAAATGGACTAGAGTATATTTAAGAAATCTACACAGATATTGTATTTAACAATATTGAGGATAAGGATAGGATTCTTAGCTATTCATCTCCAATGCATTATTAGAAATACATGAAACAAAAAACTTCAAACAAAGAAATCACATTCTCTAACATACCACAGAGATAAAACAATTTATGATCAGATAACTGTATGTAAATAATCTATGTGTTTTCAGAAATTTTAGTTATTTTTTCAGAAAACTATTCAATTTATAGGAAAAAAACTATGGAAATACATAACTTTTTAAAAAATTTTGCAAGAGAAAAATTAAATATTTATTCCTATGCTAAGCCGCAGTACTTCCACGGTTTGTGAATAATTTAGTGATTTTTGATTATAAGTTTCATAACTATAAATACAATTTTTATTTTTAGGGAGAATACATATTACCCTAAATGATCCTAGAAATCTATGGCTCCTAAAAGTTTAGGAAGTTCTTGTTTTGTTATATAATTATGGGTATTCTTGCAACAGATGACCTACTGGGCTATATCTATATCAACAGCTGATCCACCTTGTATTTGCCTTTGATTAATGCGTATGGCTTGGTTTATTTTATTACAGCAAAGCCTCGAGGGCTATCTGCCCAAGGGAAGGGATACCTTCGTTGAGAACTTTCTATGGGAAACTGACTTGTATATAAAGTTATACATGGGGAAAACCATGAAAATGCCCATGCAGCCAGCCTGTTCACTGGTTTCGAACCTTGGAAAAAACTACCCATGTTCAGCAACTTGGCCACTGGTGTGCCCGATTATGTGTATGAACTACCCATTTGATTTGGCTGTAATTGGTTCCCTCTTTGGCCTTAGTGGACCTACCTCACCACATTTTATAACACCTCATTACTTCGCCAAAAGAAATCAGTGAACGCATATAAATTGCAAAATGTGTAAAAAAAGAAATAATTAGTCTATTTCTCTGTATAATAAAATTTGGCATTACTTGCTTACTTTATTTGTAACAAAATATTAAAATATTTCATAGAATCATAAAAAACACTATAATTTAATGGTATTATTCTAGGACACTGTATTTTAATGGCAGAAATTTAATTATTCATCAAAAAAGAATACAGCTTCAGACTTTCTTTTCTGTCTTAAGACACATTAATTTAATGGTAAAAGTTTAATAATAATAATATATAAAAAAAAGAGTACAGTCCTATAATTTTTTCTGTTTGTCCAACAATACAACAGGTCCTCTTCAGTATTACATCACTTCATTCTTCTAGTAATGCAGTATAATATAGTAATCTGGCAACATAATAAATGTTCTGGTAATGTAATTAGTACATGTAATTTCTTTGTGTTTATTTATTTATTTGTGGACACTGCTGCTTTTCATAAGGTTTAGAATGACAATATTATCTGTTTCTTTTGTTTTGATCATGATCACGAGCAGTAAATCAACCTCATGCAAGAATACCTAATTATGAATGTTAAATTATAATCATTAATTTATAAATATTAATAGCTAATAACTGTATATAATAATTATTATTTCATTATTATATTTTCTTCTACTAAAATTTTTTCACTCCCTCTTTTCCATACCAATTATGTTCAGGTACAATACGATAATTTGCAGCTATATGTATGAGTGTTACACAACTAAAAGTTTGGGAAGCACTGCTATAAATGATGATTTGCTATATTTCATTATTCTTTTTAAAATTCTGATGGGTTGCAATCCTGATTTTTTTTTGGGGGGGGGAGGAACTGCTTTAGACTATAGATTTGGACGTAACATTTTATAATGATTCTTTGATTCTGACCAGTTTTACTAATTGTTCGTAGAAGCAAGATGATTATACAAGCACAAGCAATTAATCATATTGGTTTATCAAACAAAACAGCAGAATTATATTAGGTGGAATACAGATATAAAAAAACATAGTAAAAGTAATCCTTTACTTGGCATTTGATGCAATTAGTCATAATTTGTTTCAATTTAGTTTACCTGTAACGATCACATTTTACAAATACGAGTTATTTCTCACAAAGCTTTTATTTAAAATCGGTTTCACATCAGTAGGGATTTGGGATTTATTTTATTTTCAATCTGTTGAATAATTTGACACATTTAAGTCACCATCTATTCAAAATAATGGGTCAGAATTACACAACTATTATGCAAGCAAAGGGGAATTAAAATCAGAGGTTTAATCAAAGGAAATATCAAGGCAATAAAATTATATTAGGTGGAATAAAAAAACACATAAAAACATCCTAAAATTTGTAATTAGTTTACTGTTTGTCACAACTCATTTCCATCTAGTTTATTCTTAACGATCACGTTTCGAAGAAGGCTTATTATCACACTTAAAGCTTTCAGGTTTCATATCAGTATGGATTTGATATCCAATTCATTCACAATCTGACAGACAAATTTCACTCACCACATTCTGAAATTAAGGGGCCAGAATTACGACTACTTTTCATTGATTTTTCTGCATATCAACACACAAACAAAAAAAACTCTATCAATCATTAAATCAGTCTTTTAGATATGAATTTTGAAAAAATGAAGAACTGCTATATTAACTTCAATATAAACTTCATAAGTAACATTTACTACTTAGACAAAAAAATTTTTAAAGAATATACCTAATTACAAAAAATTACCTGAGACTATTCTTACTTGCTCTTGTATCTATGTGCGTGTATGAGGAGAAAAAGTTAATTTTTCTAGTATTAAAATATTACCAACCCTTCTCTGGTATTTCATTCTTCTAAAAATAGGCTTCATATCAACACACTTTTAAAAGACATTTGTAAATGAGAATGAATCACATAATTTAATTGACAAAATGTGATATAATAATGTAACAAGAGAAGGAAACTTGATAATTAGAAAGGAATTTACAAATTCTGACCTTTCATTTCATTAAAAATAAGAAGAGTGTGATGAAAAGACACTTGCAGCAGAGCAAGATTTCAAAATTCTTTGCATTACTCTAAGCATTGTTATTGCATATTCTACAGTGATAATGAAACAGGTATTAGAAATTTTTCAGCAGCAATGAATAATGATGACAACTATGATTAACTTTGATGAAAGATGAAGTGCATAGCTTAAGTTAAAGGCAAAACTTTGATATTTCTATTCCCTCCCAAAATTGCACAATGTACAGGTGCTTGGCCTTAAAAAGCCAATTTACATGTAAGGCAAACACTTGGTATCATTAGTTGTACTTTCTGATTAACAAATATGTTAGACTGGACAAACATAACTTCATTTTAGTGATTTAGAAAAAAAAAATGCAGTTATGCTTCAGTAGGATCAGATGCAAAATGCAAAAGGTATCCCTGGCTATTAAAATTTGTCTCATGATTAATTTAATTACACCTTTGATGTAAGAAAATTCAAGTCACATGTACAATGATATTGTAATACAAATAGCAAAAAATTTCATTGTGCATAATTGGCCATTGTAAAAAAATTGTCTAGTTATACAGTATTATATTAAAAATGGTCATGTACATAAAATTACATTAGAAAGTGACTAAAATAGGATACAAAGTGTAGATACATTTATTGCTATCTAAATAACCCAGGAAAAACACACATAAATACAGCATTTCAGGAAATCGAGACCTTAAGATAGAAAAGGCTTGAAAATGACTTCTCAGTTTCTTGCTTAAGTGTAAACATAATTAACAATAACTAAAATGCACAAGACTAATGCCGTAATACTGTCTTTCAATAGAGGTGACAAATATATGGTTTTGATTTTAAATATTTTAAAGAATGTTCTAGACATAAACAACATATTCATCCTAAATAGACACACACATGAATAAATGAAGTCCATTTCTTCTTAAGGTGTGCTTCTAATATCAAATTTCAATAGGAATGTTTGTCATAAAGTATTTTTCTTGGCAGAAATTTGTTCATAGACATTAAATGTATAAAGATATTCCTGACAGGAAGATTAATTTGGTATAGAATTTCTTAGCAGATTAATAATTATTCATTTGCACACATTGTGGAGCTAGTTATAATAAATCACCAAAAAAATAATAATTTTTAATTTTTAATTAAGGCTAACCACTTTAAATCTAATTTTCTGCATAATGGGAGGGCCATCTGTTAACTATTTGACCTTTTTTAAAGAGGAAAGTAGAAAGTAAGGCACTGCCTTTTTTAAAGAGTGGAGAGATTACAGGTTAAGAAATAATTCACAGCCTGAAATATTCTCGACTATAAAACAAAAATGTTTAAAAATAACCTCTTTGTATCACTTTTCTTTTTCAAATAGAAAAACATTTTAAAGAGGATAAGAAATACCGGCGGACATGACAACCACCAGTATATTTGTCACCTTCCAAAATGTCTTGCAAACATGATACAAAATTTTCCCCAACCAAAAGTCCAAGGGAAAGACATGTCCTTGTTTATAACTAACATCAGTAGTAATGCACGGATACAAATGTTTACACATTCAACCTACATACTCTTTGAGCCAAGACTTATCATAGATCATCATTAGGAATAATATCAGCATGAACTCCCTTTAATTACACAGGAGCATTTAAGGGGCTCCCCAAGTTATGAAAGAAGTGCTCAAGTGCAATATAGCCCATTAAAATTTTAATTTGGAAGCTGTACGCAGCATAGATATTATTCATTATATTGCTACTGCCAATAGTTGGCAATAATTGCCATACAGCATGATGAAAATCTTGTGCTACGTGCATTTGCGGCTAACAACACTTTGATTTTTCCAGCATAGCAAAAAAGATTTTCTATAAAACAAAAACAAACAAAAAAAGAAATAACAATAGACTACATTTCAGGTACTCACTGTATGTAAGTGATAATATCTAATGTACAGTTAACTGCATGAGAAAAGTAAACACAAATGATTCTTACTGTACACCGGGAAGCCCCTCATTGTATCAGTTGAAGTAAGCAACAAGGAAATCACATACACACAGTGCAAAATGTAACAAATAAATGGAACAATGACAAGCACTTAACCAATAACTAGACCAATGCCAGTGAAGTATTTGCTAAGCAATGACACAGCTTCACTGAAACAAAGTTTAAAAACAACTAACAAATAAGCAAAATTGTGACACAGCACAAAACAAAACAGTCTGATCACAAACTAGGTTTTACAGATCCGATGATGTGGTTGAAGGTATAGCTGGAACACCAGGTTCCAGTATGAGAGTTCCCATAATTGGATCATAAGTTCCAGCCAGGAAATATGTATCATTATTGTCAAATAAAGATCCATAATTATTTTCTGGATGCCTCTTTTGTTGATATTCTTCCCATGATAAGACTTCACACTTATGAGATATCGTTTGCACATCATTTTCATCAAAATGTGGAGACTGGAACAGTGCTCCCTAGAGAAAATTTAAAAAAGCACTTTAATAACAAAATAGCTTCATTCAAGCAAAATTCTAATGTCTATAAACTAAAAAGATTAAGGAAGGAATTATTTAATTAACAAGTTATTAACAAACAAGAGTGAAAACAAAATTCAAAAAGATTAAGGAAGGAATAATTTAATTAACACGTTATTAATAAACAAGAGTGAAAACAAAATTCAATTTCCACTGAAGAACAGAAAAAGAAATTTTATTTACCAGCTTCAAAAATTATTACATTAGCATCTATTATTTATTACTACAAGTTTAGAAAGACTATGCCAAAAGTTCCATATGCATTATTGTATCTTTTTTAATTTAGTAAACATATGACATACTTAAAACTATTTTGTTTTGCTAATTTAAGCTTACTTTTATGTACAAACAGCAAAGTGTTTTTTGAAAAGTCCCTTACGATTCATATAGAATTTTGACAAAAGAATTAACTTATTACTACAAATGTATGTGTACATATTGTATGTATATCTGTACAGAACTATCCCTATATCCATGAGTAATTTGGTCCAACACATAACCACAAATAATAATAAATGCTATGCCAAACAGGATGTGCATAACATATGTAAATTCAGTGAAGTTTAATTGATAAATCTGGCATCATAAGACATTACGAGTATTAATAACAATGAAATACACTGTACACTATAACACTTCATATACTGCATTATTAATATAAAATAATGTACAATTTACTCTCCAAAATTTTAGTTTTCCTTTTAATGGATAAAATTTCATAGCTTTTCTTAAAATTTTAAAGAGGTAGAAGCATCACAACTTTTACACTGGAAACCAATGCAATCTAAATAAGAAATTTCTGACTACGACTGTTATTAATGAGATTGTTACAGCAGAGACGAGAGAAATAATTTAATGGGAAAATCTGAGTACACAGGAGAAGGGAAGGTGTCAGATGTTTTGACCATTGATAACCTTGGTCTCCTGTGGAATTTTTACACCATCATAGAGCAAAGATTAATTGAGTGCAACACTAAGAAGTTACTTGTAATCTGAGAATGTACATAAGGTTCAAAAGATGATCATTTTCATTCCCTTTCCATTTAGTTCCAGACACATTCCATTCCAATTTAGTTTTCTTAGAGGAAATGTTTTCAGTTATTTCATTTGAGGCTACAAAGACTAAGAACTTTTATTTTTAAAACAACAAAACAATTTAAATTCTGGGATAATTTTTCGAGGGTGGGAAGAGAAAAGAACAAATCTTTTCTCCCAAATATTCGTAACTAGATAATCCATCCTGAAACGCCTGAAATTTCAGAATATTTAAAAATGTTTCCCATACAATAAAGCCTTAAAAGGATAATGCTGAAAACATATATCGTATTTCCTTGTGTATTTTCCCCCTTGCATTTTAATTCCAGGTTCTGAAAATTAAATTTAAAAAAAAAAAAAAAAAAAAAACACGCATATTTTTCTTTTTCATAATGCATTTAGGCAACAAGCATGAGCTTCCCTAAATTTTAAAACAGATTCATTCATACAGTGATTTTTTTTGTTTTACTAACAAAGCTAAACTCTCTCAAACTGCTTGCGAAAGTCACGCCAAATCTTTCCCTTTTAACTGTACAACTTTATGCCAGCCTAATTCAAGAACCTACCAGTCGCAGTGAACTGACATTCAGTCTAAAATTTTACGGAGTTAGCCTCACATTCATCTTCTATAATTATTTATGAATGATTTCAGACCTAAGGAGTACCATAGACTACAATAAGAATAGATGAGATTCAGGTTACGAGGAAGTAGAAATGAAAGTATCTTATTAAATATTATAATGTTAATATTACTACATATTCTTATTGGAATGTAGGTTTCCTTAAAAAAATAATCTTGTGGTAGTTAAGCTTATCCATGACTACTTTTCATTTGCTAGTCCTTACTGTAACTATGGCCTTTGGAAATTTAAATTATTCACATGAATTTCCCCTTTTGATTTTCGAACGATAAAATTAGTAAAATAACGGGAGAAAATACATAAGGAAATATGGTATTCATAATTTCTGATCTAATATTTCAAATGCAATTATAAGCCATTTCTCTCCCTCCCCCCGATTTTTTACTCTAATAAATAAATGCATGAAATCTAGAAGACTACTGAATATTTTAGTTAAATACATCACAGTTATATGAAGACAGATAGCAACTTTTTTTTTAATATTATACTTTATTCTATACAGTGCAGATTAGAAACAGCAAGAAATGAATTATTGGATGATTTTACCAAATTTTCATTACAGCCTGGCTTAAAAAAATTTGATAAATTATAAATATAAAAATATCAGAACAATTCAAAGAAAAATCTACTAGATAATAATTTTTACCTTTATTTGACTGAGTTTCTTTCCACTTTTGGTTTCTTCAGGATGGTAAAACCATTTGACTTTAACATCCATTTTACCACCCCACGATTCCCACATTGTTTCTATCCTACCAATGTATGGTAAGTGTGGTCGTCCAGTTGATAAGAAAACAGCACAGTCCCCTACCTACATTGTTTATAAATATAAACTCATTAGTCTATTAAATGATAAGAATGATCTTTATGCCTTTAATTCAATCTTTTTTAGATACACAAAGTTAAATGAATAAGTTAATAATCAATTGAACAGCTGCATTTGATACAAAGTATGTTAGAATATCATCTAAAGACCAAAGCGAATAAAATAAACTAATAAATAATGCTCCACAATTGAAAACCAATTACACTGACACTGGTTACACACATCTCTCTTGTTCAACTATATTTTTAAGAAAGAAATTAAACTAGGTTCTAAGTCTGCAACAGATTCTCTAGGTTTGAATGGCATGCATGCTACACATCAATTTGCAAATTTTAAAACAAAAATCACTTCTTTTATATCATTTTAAGAAAACTGAAATACATTTGCAAACACTGGCATAAATTTAGAACGGGGTGCAATGAAGACCAAAGATTTAGCACAATTTTTCTCAAACAATATTTTGTTCCCGATATTTAAATTTTTTTCAACATTTATATCATACTGTTTAAATTTTACATATCTGTCATTGAAACCTAAAATATATAAATATCAATAATAATTTCTTGTTAAACTGATATGAAAATTTTATAAAGCACTAGCTTGATATTTATTGCTTTTAACAGTTTTGTATATAAAGCAATATTTTTCTATTTCTCAACTTGCTGTGTAAATCTATGATTAATAACAATAAAAATAGATTGCCATTTTTTATCCAAAGAATTAAATACAGATTCTATTAATACAAATATGGAAATTTATTAGATTGTTAAGCATTTAAATAACGCAGTAAATAGACAACAAAATTTAAACTATGAAACAATAAAATTTGCAGACTGCGCAAATTTTAATCCAAAAATATGCAAATCCTCAATTTCCAAAAAGCTCATTTAAGAAATGAACAAATTTAGTCATAAAAATTGTCAATTTAAGCAGTTGAAGAAAGAGATAGTATTCTCCTTCTACTTTTTTTTTTAATATTATTAAAATTTTTTTTTAAAGCAGGCATATATGGTAGCTATGGTTACTAATATTTATTATATTCATAACTATTAAAATTATATCATTCTCTATGTTTGTTTATTGGCTTATACATACAGATATGCAAATAAGATTTATTTTAGACACATAGATCTACCAAAGATTCATAAAATATGTTTAAAATCAAAAACAGAAAAAACATACAATATATATAATAATATATATATATATATTTTTACATTTAAATAATTTGTTAAAGAATTTGAAAGAATCAAAAATATTATATTGCAAGTCAGAGCTTAGAAAAATCTATAGTTATATTGATTTAAATAAATATAAGCACTAACAAACAAATACATATTCTTTATGAATAGGGAGGTGCAAAAGTAATCATGCATTTTTCAGAGAATAACACTTTTAGTTTATTCTTTAATGTAAAAAACAAAACAGAAATTTTGAAAAATGTTATTAATTACACAGCTTTATCAAACCCATATTTTCTGTGAGTAATAAAAAATGTCAAACTTAAAATACCAAACCTATAATTCTTTATTTTTCAGGATTTGTTGGTAAATGCAGATCTGAGACACATGGATAAAGTCATTGTGCAGAAGATAACAAACAAAAAGCAATAATGACAATTCAATAAAAATGTTTTTTTAACCCAAATTTTTATGAATAAATGCAATAAACTTCAATATTTGCATTTTTTACCTTAAAAATTCCTACCTACTGCAGCAAGTGCATCACAATTACCAAAAATAAGTACACAACATTTGTACATTAGATTAAGACTTTAACATTAAATAAAACCCCATTTATCAGAACCAAAGTAAATAAAGACAAATAACAATATTTTTTGATAACTTGTGGGAACTATTTTTGGCAACTGAAGTCATCTACAGCATAGTTATGCAAACGTACAATATTATAATATAGCAAAGGTAGAAATGGCGTATAGGGACAGTCCTGTATTTCCTGTTCTAGTCAGCATATTGACAAAATTCAAATTGGACATTTCTTGTCTCAAAAGTGCAATATATATATATAATACAACAGTTTTTTTACGAAAAATTGCATATTTTCTGAAATGAAAGCCAATTTTCCTAATATTTTGATTCTAACACCTAAACACCATACTCTGTTAGAACTGTGCAAGGAGTTTTGTATTTTAAGTGTTAAGTCATCACTTGAAGACACCTGAAATCAATTTGATATCAAAAAAATAACTTCATTTGAGGAACTTCTAATTTATGTTAACAATGGATTGTTTCAAATATTTGCTAAATGACCATCTAACAAACTTATATAGGATAATAATATTTAGTTTTCTTAAATTTTAAATAAAAGAATCATTTCAAAGAAAAAATATTGAACAAATTAATAATTATCTTGTAATCTGAAGTTTTCAGAGAGCAGTCTAATACTTTATCATTAAAAAAGTCTTAAAATTTAAAATATGCAAATTGTACATCTACTTTATCTTTTTAAAAAACACATCATCGAATGTCAATTCATAAAACTAAATCTTGACTGTTGCTGAATAAAAACTCAACTAAGAAAATTTCAATTTGAGAACCCATTCCTAGATTTGACATTTTCTCTTCTAAATCTAAGATGGCATAAAATGAAAAATGTCAAAAAATTATATTACTACTTCAAAATTATTTAAAAAAGCTATATATAGAGAGAAATGAATGCAGTCACCCATTGCAGCAAAATTTTATTAACACTTTATAGATTTTATTTTGAATGCAGATGATAGTTTAAAACAAGTTTACATACACATGAAATATAGTTTAAAAGTTTGCAGTCGGTGCACACAGATTTAAATACAGCATATTAGAAAAAGATGCACAGAATGTTTAAAATTATTTTATTTATCATGCTTATGGTACAAAATGAATTTTTTTTTGTAAAATGTCATGAAGAACATCAGATATGATAATTCTTTTAAATGATTAACTTTTTTACCAAACATAAGCCATGCTCTTTTACTATTTTGATGACAAATAAAAGATCTTATGCATTGTTGCCTGGCAGCAAACATATAACCTTTAATTGATATGGTATGGGGTCTAATGAGCTGAAGCATCGAAGTTTATATAACTATTATTTTATATAGAGGATAATCACACGTTTCTCATTGTCATCATCATTTTCGTCAAAAATATTATTTTACTTCCAAATAAAATGCAAATATTTTTTATGCGACTATTTTGAATAACTAATTACATAGTTGAAAAGTATCTACAAAAAATAAACATATTAGTAGCTAAGTCGATAAAAGCTTGCTGTATATTGGTAATACAAGCCAGGTTTAAATTCTGGCAAATAGGCTGATAGGATAGGTTTATTATGATTTTTCCTACACATACCACAAATACATGCCAGTTTCCCTCTAACAGATAAATGAAAGAGATTCTCCATGAAGATATCTCTACTTTTACACAAGTAATTCTCATATGTGATAACAGATCAAACAATTATCAAAAAGAGTAATTTTAACTATGAGTTCCAGGGTAACTAACTATGATACCAAAATTTTCATGGTAATAAAAGTTAATATTATCCAGTAAGCCATGAAGCAATTTTTATTTACATCTCAAAATGACCTAAAGAAATGACAAATCAAAATTTAATAAAACTGGAAAAAGAAGTGGAACAAAAATCACTTTTCATAAATTTATAAATTAAAAAAGAATTTATTAAAGCATTTATTTATATTCTTGCATGATGCAAATCATTGTGAATTTTATGCAAACTGAAAAACTGCCTTTCTATTACTTTTAATTTACTTCTATCTTTCTAGAGTGCAATGGCTTCAACCACATTAAAGTCAAAATTTATTTAGATGAAAACAGGACAAATAAATAAATGGTACTTTCTGATTACTCATAACAAATGTTCAAGCATACATGTGAATTTCATGCTTTATATTTAACCAGCTTTTTCTTGAAAAGTATCCACCAGTTGTAAAAATGAAAAATCATCCATGCAGGTTTTGTCCCCCCCTTCATAAAATTTATAATATTTTCTGAGCCATAAAAATAACCATATATATATATATATTTCACACCAATGCACATAGTCATATGTGATATAATTCATGGCAACTTTTCATGAGGATGCAGATAATCAGAAAATAAAACAAATGAATAAATAAAATAAAATAAAAACATTACCAGATGTAAGTAAGCATTTCTTTCAAATTTAATCAATTATTATGCTTCCTTAAAGTCTTATAATTTTTAATACAGCTCCAGTTTTACAAAATAAATTGTTAGTTTTTCATATTTTTAATTTAAAGTATTAAATATATTATGTTAATGACATGCAGTCTTTTTTAGAACTAAAATGTTTTCAATGAATACATTAAAAAATTAAATTTCCTTAAATAAGTGAGAAAAACTCTTAATTTTACAGAAGACTAACTTCAGATTACCCCCCCCCAAAAAAAATAAAAATAAAAATAAAAGTAAAAAATATAAAAAAATTCCAAATACAGTCAAAAGTCCTTAATCCGGACTCGTCGGGACTTCCGCGATTCCGGATTATAGATCATCAATTTAAATCTGGTAAGATGGCATGCAGAAATTATAAAATTAAAAATATGAAACCGTAATTTATGAAATAAAGAACAATTATGATCTAAAGGGTAACAAAATTTACAAAAAAAAAAGTTTAATATTTATTTGTTTACATTATTAAACATTTCTTTCAATGTAAGTTGTTTAAGTTGCTTCGTTTTTTATGTGATAATACATTCTCTTTAATTCTATAAACAGACATAATTTCTTGTTCAGTTACAAAGTTCTACTGTTCAAGTCCTATAATTGCTGTGTCGTGAATACGGACTAATTTGTCAATCAAAATTTTTTCGTTTTCAATAACCTCTGTTACTTTCTTCGCTATCGGAAGCGAATTATGATGACGAGGAATTTGATTTAAATCATATCAAAGGAGGAGGACATCGAGATGAAATACTACATTTAGTAAGGAATTATAAGCCAAATAAAATAAAAACATCTGCCCTGAAGATAAGGATAGTGCTGACAGATCAACTTCCAATTCATTGCGCACCACCGGCGTTAAAGATAAACAAAGTTTAGATAAACAAAGGATATGCCTTTATCCATTTTTTGCAGCAATTCCACTTTTTGTTTAATGGACTTTGAAACATACTTTCGCTTTGTAGATCCTTTACATATTAGTAAATATATATCAGAAAATCTATATGACATAATCGAAAGTTCAAGCTTACTTTTATAAAATTGCTCTAACAGTCTGCAAAAAATAAAATAAGCCGGATCCAATTTGAAGATTAAGGAACAATGCAATCTGCAACATTAACTGAATTAGATAATTTTAGCTTAGCTTATACCATCCGTTGTACATTAAACGTGCATTCATAAACGTATTTTGCACATGCGCACACGCATATTTGCAGCCGTAAAGGTCAATACGACGCATGCGCAGAAAGTTTGTAGCTTTGAGGTCCGGATTATAGATCATTCCGGATTATAGGTGTCCGAATTAACGACTTTTGACTGTATAAAACCAGATTTACTTCACATTACAGAACAAAAATTTTTATTACTGCATATTTGAGATATGAAAAAAGCAAGCTGAATTCTGTTGATCAGCCAACTAGATTTGGAAATAAAGAACTGTCCTTCCCCTCCCTTACTGTACATCTTTACTTAAAACAAGTGATCTTTTGTGAGGTTTTTTCTTGAAATGATTATGAAAGCAACTATTGTACCACATTTGATGAGCTACATATCAAAAGATATAAATTCACTCCACTGACAATCATCTAGCAACAAATAAATTTCTTTTGTTGTTGTAACTATAGTACTGTAATAAAATAACTATTCAGCCTGTTAAATGCAGTGTAAAGTCACACTGGTCCCTGGGAACTAGCCACAGCATTCAGATCTATGCTACACCACCATGCACAATGTTCCTTGAATATTGACAAAATTCAACATATCATGTAAGTGACACTGGTTTTATTCAATTGAAGTTTCCAGGAAAACTAATAAAAAAAAGATATTCACAACAGCAGTGTTCGGTAAAAGTTCGAAACTTTATTTCCCGTATCTTTTTACTGATTTCTGTAATGCGTTTTTACAGTAATCATTTGTTCTGAAAGATCAGTATATTTGTTCCCCATATTATAGACAGTAACTGTTTTTTAGTTTAGAAATAAATCTTATTTTCATTTTAACAGTTTCAATGTCTGCTGAATTTTCGGTAGACAGCAATAAAAAATTATTTTCTCTCCATTTTAAAAAACTGTAATTCTTTCTCTGCTTTCTTTTGCAATACATTTTTCATGTTTAAATTTCTGGTGTCCTATTCACTTCATAAAAAACTCTGCCACTGTAGACATAGAAGCTGGATATACATCCAAACAAACAAAATTTTAAAATTTTATTCCACTCGTGTGTCTTTTTGTTTGCATATTTGTGCATGCATTGTTGAAATAAAATTCATACATGACATGGTGTTATGCATTTGTTAATACACATTAGTTCTGTTGGATTATATTTGCCTTCATTAGCATGTATATTTGCCTGTTCAGTTATCTTCAACCATTTTCTCAATTAACTAGCAACACAGAAGTTATTTACATTTACATAATTCTGAACTTTTAAGTTATTTACAACATCATATGCACTAGAAAAGGTTACAAAACCAAACCACTTGAAATCTTGATCACCAACATATTATTATAATTATTTAATAATTATTAAATGCTTATTCTTGAACAAATTACTGTCTTCATATGAAAGCAATATACAGAGATGGTGATTTTAAGATAGCAAAATTAATCCCCCCTTTTCATTCTATTAGCATTTTCAGACTAATTAAAAAAAAAAAAAACTTGGAATTTATTACGACAACAAATCTGGTAGATTCAGTGAAAGAAATTAAATCAGTCTTGTGAGTTTTCTTGGTCATCCCAGCATGATTTAACCTTATTTTTCATTAACTTATCTCTAGTTTATCACTCACCTATCACACACGACCACCTCCACCTAACAATAGAATGCATTATGAATGGAACACTAAGCAAAACAATCTGTCAAATATTGCAATATTTACATGAAATACTCTTGTGGAAGCATTCTTTCACTGTGTGCTATTTTCCATTTGCACCATAGTTTCAAACTTCTGTTCAATGATTATAATCATAATGTCTGTATAAAAATTAATTGAGATTTTAATGTAATAAACATTAAGAAATCTTCTAATAAATATATTTAAATCTGTAAATGGAATAACTATCAAAAATTGCAAAAAAATAGCTAATTACTTTTGGACCTCCTAAATATATTTACATACTTAAAAAATATTCTCACACAATCCTTACATAGCATGCAACTAAATTTTTCAGAATTACGAAAAAAAAAAAAGCAATTATAAGGCCTAGTATAACCTCGTTACACTCCTTAAGCTGTTAGGCATTAAAGAAAAATAAATTGACTAAGTTACCCTTATTGTTTCTTTGCCACGTTGAATAGCCCTATAAAATTCTTTTTTAGCTTTTCCTTTCGCCCCGGGTCTGCGGAAGCTTTTTCCCGACCATCTCCACAGCTGACGTACCGGCAAAAATGCTGAATAAAATGTTTTCAGTTAAATATAAGTGATGAACAGGAACAGAAATGTCTGTTGCGAATTCATGTAGTTGTTGCAAAACAAGCTTATAATCAAATTATCAATCAGACTTGCTTTAATATATATATATAACAAGGAATATAATCAGTAAACTTTGAGCTGATATGAGACTTTTCTTATATAAAGATAAGAGAAAGCCTAAAAATGAGTTGCAGGAAGCTACAGATGAAGATAAATATAAGATGGAAAACTACAACCAGCTTCAAATACACACAATACAAAAAATAAATAAAATAAATAAAATAAAAAAAGTATGAAATTATGATTTGGAGGGGGAAAAAAAAACATCAGCAAGAAGTATGCCAATTTATAAGTTAGGCTTAGACACATTACTTGCAGAGAAAATAATAATTTTAATACAGCAATGTAAGAGAATCAAAATGCAGAGAAAAAAATTTCACATATGAAAGTATATTACAGAAGTGTAGACAGAATGCAGTTAGAAGGTGCATAACCTGCCAAAATATTCATCAGTAAAACATTTTCATTAAAATATAAAGAGAAAAATTTAGATTAGATGAACAGTTTTAAATAACATAAAAAAAATCATGTAAAAGGTTAAGATAAAGAAAGAATGCTATACAACAGAAAATTTACAAAATTTTGCAAGCAATATTATCTTGACTGTTAATTATACTTCATACCTGCTATTTTACTCTTTTCAACTGAAGGCATGCGGTCTTTCCTTTTTGCAGGCTTACTTTGAGTAATTTGTTGCTGCAATAAAAATTATAGTAATACATAACTGATTACAGTAATAAACTAAAATGTTATGATTTATAAAAGCTATACCACAAGTTACATTAAGAAATGTTTTTAGAAAAAGATTAAAGAAATCTGGTTAACCTAAATATGAAAAGTAAAGTCATAAAATCATACTTTCATTACAGATTTTACAATGTTAAACATCAGAAAGTTTTGATGTAACTAGGGAGAAAAGATTCAAAACTGCCTTATAATATACCGTAGAACCTGTCTAAAACAATTATAGACATTTTTAATGACTTTTATATTTTGTTCAGATGGTTGCCTTACAATGCTCAACACTGTTATTTCATTACATTCTCAGAGATGCTGGTTACACCCAAGGACTTGGAGAGGTTGTGTTACAAAGATAGCAAACAGTTTGATGCATTCAAAAATAATCATTGTTCATATTATACTAAAATTATTATATATTTGGCAACGTATATCAAAAAAGATTAATTGCAAAATCAAGAAAAAATAATGTTAGGAGTAAGTATTAAATTATTTTTTAAAGCATTTCATGGTTTTTAAGGTAACTTTCAGCAATTCTATTTAATGTCCCATCTCATCTTGCATGATATTTAGTTCAAAATTAAAGGCTTAAAATGGAATAATCCTGAATTGCTATATTTATCACAACAAACCTGGTTGATTCAGTGAAAGAAATTAAATCAGTCTTGTGAGTTTTCTTGGTCATCCCAGCATGATTTAAACTTATTTTTCATTAACTTATCTCTTGTTTATAATTCACTTATCACACACCATTAGCTCCACCTAACAACAGAAGGCATTATGAATGGAACACTAAGCAAAATAGGCTGTTAAATATTGCAATATTTACATGAAATACTCTTGTGGAAGCATTCTTTCATTGTGTGCTATTTTCCATTTGTACCATAGTTTCAATATTCTGTTCAATGATTATAATCATAATGTCTGTATATAAATTAATAGAGATTTTAATGTAATAAATATTAAGAAATCTTCTAATAAATATATTTAAATCTGTAAATATATTCAAGCCAGTGCACTGAATTAATATTCAAGCTATCAAATTATGGTTTAAATTTTTATTTCTTCAGTATATTATATGGGTTAAGTTACTTGAATTGGGCAAAGCATATGAGGGCTCTCTGCCTAAGGAAAGGAATGCTTTCAAGGAAGACTTTCAAAGGAACATTCGCTTGTATTCACACTGTACATGAGGAAATCCACAAAAACAAATCATGCAGCCAGCCTGCTGCCTGATCTGAACCCAGGTTGAGCTACCAGTATGCAGACTCAGCCACTGAGGGGCCAGGATATTATATAACAATCTGATGTTTAAAAATAATCTATTATACACATTAAAATATATAAAATTATAAAATGATTTTTAAAGGTTCTTATTCAAAACATTTAATAAAAGCATAGTTTTCAGAATATCTATATATATATATTGTTCTGTTTTGTTTTTCAGTTAGCATGTAAAATTACACACACAATTTTGCCTTGGAAATTACTTTCATCACCAGTTTTCAAGAACAGAATGAGTATAAAAACAGTATCTACCATCCATGCCTCTTACTAAAAAATATCTTTAGACACACATTAAATTTTTGAAAATATTCATGTAACTAAATTTACTTGCACTGAAAAAGAAGGTTTTGCGAATCTTTGTTACAACTAAGTAAGCAGGTTTTGAAGCATAAATTGACTGCCAAGTAAAGATTAATATTATTAAATTAACTGATCTATTTAAAAATGATCACAAAGATTGTAGTTAAAGCTCACATATATGCAATTGGTTTTGATAAATTCAGTAGGCAGCTCAAGATACACCAAACTGGACATGGGAGACTTTACTTGCTTTGGTTTTAGCTATTTTGGGCCACATGATATATATATACACACTATTCTTGGATTTAATTAAAATATCTCTGAAGTACAAAAGGTTAAGAAAACTACTGCATTCGGTTCTGTCAAGTGACGTATCAGACAAAAATATTTCAAAAAGGATGTACTTTTTTAGTTATCTTTAGTTACCTTAACTTTCTTCACTTTTTTCTTTGCTGGTTCCAAAGAAGCATCATCATCTGCAGAACTGCAGCCACTGGGTGACAGAGCTCTCGTTTTACTAGTGACAGCAGCTGCTGATGAAACAACCAAAGCCGCTGCAGCTTCTTCTTGAGCTGTATGAGGAGATGGAGATTTCTTAATTTTTACAGTAAGTTCTGACTTGGAATTTTCTAAAATAAATGTATTCTGGTCTGCAGGTGAAGAAAGACAGTTCGATGAGTCTTCACTAGAGGGTAAAGTGCTTGAAGATATCACAGCATCTACAGAATGACGTTCTTGTTTCTCTGCTTTATGTTTTTTATGATGATGGTGCTTATGATGATGGTGATGATGATGTTTATGATGGTCTTCTTTATGTTTTTTGTGTTTCTTTGGTTTTGATACTGATGCACACATATCATCAGTTTTGCTCTCAAAGTTCTGTTGTTTAAGACAGTGTTTTGATTTCATGTCAGTTTTCTTCTTACTTTCTTCACTGGTTTCTTTTTTTCCAGCGATGCTTTGGTTCTTAACTTCACTGTGACTGCTACAAGACGATTTTGACGAGCTGCGAGAGCGATTTGAGGTAGATGGTGATTTGCTTTTGCTTTTAGACATTTCCTTGCTGTTTTTGCCTTCAATATGACCTAATTTAGAAGAAACAAAGTTTTTAAACATTTGAAACATTTTAACAAATTACATTTAATTTTAAAAAAATGCTATAAATGAGTGGATAACGTTATAAAAATTGTATGTACCTAATAAAACAAATATTCCCTATGTAGAAACCAATACATTGCACTGTGTTGATGCAATAACCAAAAATTTAAGGAATAATGAAAATTAACCTTTCTTAATCTATTCATAGAGCATGAAATAATAACTATACTTACTCTAAACTGCAGTGCCAATCAGAAACAAAATTGCATTTCACATGTGAAAATTTATTTACTAGTAGCTACTTAAAACTGATCAATATAGCCATGTAAAACAGTGTAGAGAAAATATCATCACCATGTTAACAGTCTTTGTGATTTTGAACATAATGAAGTCCTGCACTGAAGATTAAGGAAAATTAATTAAGGAAAATCACTCTGCTGAAAGAATGCTGGTCATTTTTTACACAGGAAGAAACTTCAGGAACAGGATGAAAGACATCAGCAAGTAGCAAAGTCAAAAATGGCAAAACCATTGTTATCTCAGAGATATATTGACTGTCTTGGTGAATTAAGTTCCTTTACTGAGGAATGAAGGCACTCAACGTTTATTATCAAAGTAACTTGTAACTCTACTCGTTAACCAATTTCTATCATGACAAATTACAAACCTGAAGAAAAATTTCGACACATGACCTAATCCAAGAAGCAGGAAAGAGTAAGGTCAAAGCCTCCTCTACCCATGCTGTTTGCTTTCAACAGAGTTACAAATTAAAAGACGTCTACACATTTAATTTGTTTTTAAAGTCGCAAACATTCATCACTTCTGATATGTACAACTTTATACGCAAGCTTATATACCATACAAGCCAGAATTATAAAATATGGGATAGAATTGACATTAGCAAAATTTTAAAAGATATTCTTTTTGATAATCAATAATTTAAATTCAAATCAAATGACTAATTTGTGTTTGCATTTATTTACATTCATAATGTCCTATTAACTTCAAAATTTAATTGCAAATACATTACAATTCGGAAATTATCAATGAAAATGAGGAAAATTTACATTAATTTTAAACGTCTCATTTTCTTACTGAAGACGAAAGTATTTAAAATATTCACACACAACAATCTAGCATAAATTCATTGAAATGAATGCCATTTTTTGCTGTCTGTTATATATCCATTTGTCATAATATATTTATTTTAAATGAAGAGGAGAAAAGACAGTGAACTAAATTCAGAATCTTCTCTTCAAGGAAGTTTTTAGTATACAAGTTAAAAAAATTTACTTTACAGAATATATATATGGGTGTGAGTGCATGCGTGTTTGTGTGTGACAATTTTGTTGATGACTAGCTTAGAAGCTCAGATTAAAAGTTAGCTGTTAGCAATGAGAGCTTATCTGTAGTTACTTGGAAAGGCTTACATGTGTAGATTCACAAGATGATATTGAGGACATAGATTTGATTTAGACAACATATTTATTTATCCCTGGACAGTCTTGATAAGCATAAACATGTTCACACATCATTTATTTAGTTATTTATTTATTATGTGGTTCACCATTAAGCAATACACAGAAAGAGAGGGATGCTCTGTAGAGGTACTTTTAAGGTAAACTGGCTCGTATCCAAGTTACACAAAGGAAAACCACGAAAACGCCCACATAGCCAGCTTGTTCATCAAAATTTGAACCCCAGACTGAACAACCAGTGTTCAGCAGCTTTTACTGCTTGGCCACTGGCAAGCCACATATCATTTTGGGTGCAATAAGCACATTCCACACTCCTGCATAATAGATCACATCATTAGACAATGGTTGAAGCAGGTTCGCACAACAAGGGGAAGATAGGAAAAGTGTATTCAGCATCTGGGATATTAATAAAGTTGAATTCTTTGTTTAATTTTCAGATTGCTACTGGACAAGAGCTTAGCACATTGCAGATGATGTAATAGTAATTAAATTAATTTATAATAGTAATTTCTACCATTAATTTCTACCTAATTAATTTGTAATAGTAATTTCTACCATTTAGTTTTCAAGTGGCACATTTTAGATTCCAGCAAGGAACACAGCCAAATTAAAATCAGGAAAAGAACTACTGTTAAATTAAAGTAAGCAATTTTCTTTCATATTTTATGTATTACATATATAAAGCATTAAATAATAGCATTATGAAAGAAATGAAGGTACAGTTTTCCATACAAAAATTTTATTGAATCAACTTTAAATATGAGGGAAAATCAAAAAGTAAGTTGCATTTAAATGAAAATAATTATGTATGATGACTGATGAAAACATACTTTTTTTGCTAGCTTTGACAACGTTTTTGTGCTTTTTATGCTCACTCTTTTCTTTATCATTCTTCTGATTTGTTGCCTCACTTCCATTTTTGGCATCATTTACTGTGCTACCATTCTGACTTTGGGCTCGAGCTCTTCGTTTACCCAAAATCATGAATGGGTTAGGTTCCATTGCTAATTGAAGGTGGAAAAAAAATTATTAAACTTAATCTTAAATTTCTAATATGTTTAATAATAGAAAAAACTTGCATGATAATTCACAGCATTATTTACCAGATAATCAGACATTTCACCCACCCCCAAAATTGTTACACAGACATGTCACATATATCATACTTTTTGTTAGATAGATATTATGTCACATATCACTAATCAGCACAAATGTCATATGAAGAATATGTTACACAAACAGTATAATTTTATACCAAAAATTTATTGTCAAGTTATGAGGTTATTAATAATAGTTAAAGCTTTGGCTTTTGGGGACAAAATAATGGAACAGATTAAAACTTGAGAGTGAAAGGTATAGTTCAGGATGTGGCAGCAAAGTTACACCTTGATGACTGAAAGTATTAATTTATCTAGCATTCTTCTGGCTATTTTTCATATTAAATTAAAACTCGTTCCATTCATGCATCTAAGCCTTCCTTACCTCTCCCCATTATTTTCTTATTTTGATGTACGAACACTTTCCAATTGTTAATATAATGATAAATCTTGGTTCAATAATTGATTATAGCAAAGCATGAGAGGATTATATGCTTTCTGGAGAACTTTTTTGTTGAAAAGAGGCTCATATTCACATTACATATAACAAAACTGCCTATTTAGCATAGTACCTGCCACTTATTAAATTCATTGGTCAACAAAATAAGATGTTTATACCATTCAAATTTCCAGGAATGAAAACATACACTAATCAATAGAAAAGCCACCGTTTATTATACTCACTGCTTATTAAACTCAGATGAGCAAAAGACCGATTTATTAATGCCAAAGTAGCTTACTTGTATATATCAGCTTTTCATGGTTCATTCATTTAACTACTGCAGATGATGGCTTTATCATTCAGGTTTGTAATACTTTGATCAAATGGGTTTCACCAACGATTTTTTAATCCATGTTTCTTGTAGACTATACTATCTTGTTTTCAATATTCATTATCAGCAATGAACTTAAGAGATGCAATTTTTTCCCCTTAAGGTTAAAAAAAAAGTCCTCAATAAGCAACTAAGACACAGTAAATGACTGAGGATTTCCATCTCACATAACAGCTGAAGGAAGGTGGAAATGCAAATTCTGTATCTCATCTTTTAAAGCTTCCACATTCAAAATTTTTCCTTTGGGATACACACATTATGTTCATACAGAGTTATAACAAAATCCATGAAATGCTTCTAAGTTACACCAAACATTATGAGTCTTTAAATGGAAAGGAAGTAATGGTAACTGTAGACAGAACAAAAAACATTGGTCATGGAAAGGAAAATATTGATTACGTTTGTAATCATGTTTGTAAAGAGACAGAGTGACTAAACAGACAAAGTGAAATCTTTCTCCTGAGTTGAAATTCGAAATAAATTTTGAAATTTGAACCAATCATTGGAAGAAGCATTTTTTTCAATTTGTTGAGTGCTTAATACGGAAGACATTGAAATTCCAAGCATTTACAGATTTTGGCCTGAATTAAGGATAAAGTGTTAAAATATTTTAATATTTTTGTTAATTGCAACCATAGAAAAACTACATTTAAACTGGAAATTTCCCAAACAACATTATGCAATTTATTTAAGCAATAAATATAATTAATGGAGATCTAATAAAAAAAAAATGTCTCAAGAAAGTGAAAAACAGACAGAAAAGCAAAAGATGTTAAAACTGCTTTTTCTAGAATAGTTTCAAGTTATAAAACTCCAAAATCAAACTATTTTTAAGCTTTTTTTGCTAACTTGCTAAATGCTAAGGGAGAATTTTATATCAACTGACATATGGCTCATAAGTTGGAGAATGTGCTAACTTGCTAAATGCTAAGGGAGAATTTTATATCAACTGACATATGGCTCATAAGTTGGAGAATGTGAAATCCAACACTGTCCATCAGAAACTGCATAATGAGAAGTGAGAAGGAAGAAGTGGATCATTATGCAGCTAACTGGATACAGGCTGCTAACTAAATATAAGTCACACTAAAATGAATGGTTTAAAAAACTGAAGGTCTTATTAACATGGACCCAGCAATTAATAAGACAGCACTTGTTATGGATAAAAGCAGAAAACCTCAATGTTCGAAAGGAGTCAAGAATTAACTTCTAACTTACCATAGCAACAAAAACTCATGGACCACAAGTGGCATTTTTACAGACTTTTTTTTTTTAAAAGAGACAGCAAAATGAAAAAAGAGCTTTATTAATTAGATAACTATACAGCACATATGCCTCTGATCTCTTTCTGAAAACATCAGTGTATTTACCTGAAAATACAATTTTACCATTTAGACTTTAATTTCAGGATATTATAAAAGCTTTGAAATGTCATTACAGAAAGTGTTCAGTAAATGATGTACAAAATTGTATTTTGTGAAAATGCAAGCACTTCACAGACTATAAGTAAGTCAATATTTCTGTTACAGACCATGCATATTAATCAGCTAAAACTTTTTTTCAAAATGTGGGTTTAATGTAGAAGCTTCTTCAAAGGAACTTCAAACTATAGGTAATTTTTCAAGCCCCAGTGAGGAAGGATATGGAGATTCATTTTTAGAATATGTTGTATAACTGACAATAATGCTGAGACAATGTGCATAAAAACTGACTACAAAAGTGTTAAAAGACTGCAGAGACTGACAGCTGAAGTGATACAGAAAAGAGTGATGACTTACCATCATCAATAGAAGGCTAAATCAGATTTAAAAAAAAAAAAAAATCTGAAAGGTTTCAGATTTTAAATTACGTCCAAAGGGCGTTTTTTAATCATTTTGTGTGTTACTTTTTATTTATTAAATATCATGTTCTTCGTACTTAAACCATAAAATTCAGTTCAAGAGCAATATCGCAAAATAATTTTAAATTGAGCACATCTCTTTAGAATCTCCGATACAGATCTCTGCATTATCGTACTTTTATAATGCCTTTTCTCTTATCATTAATTTGAAAAAACTTCACTCAGTTTATTCCAAGTATTTTGTCAAAATTCTAATTTTAGTATTATATAGTCAGACGTTCAGAGTTAAGCTACAGAGATATTAGTTTATATACATGATACAGCCTACAAAAGCACTGTAAATTGTGAGAAAATTTCTTGAACTGAAAGGTACTAATCAAAAAGTCTGTCAGCAGTTTTACAAAACAAAGAATACAACTGAATAACTGTTGTTGAACAATATGAAACAAAAACATATACAATAGCTATTTGTAAGAGAGAAAATTCCATCACAAATGTAAATCTAAAAATATTTTTATAAAAAACTGGAATGGAAGTGACTTTAATAAGTGGGGGTACTGTGTTTAGACATTCCAGCTTGACCACAGGAAGACATTATCTGTGATGCCTTCCATGAAGATAATTATTTTCTAGATCACTGCAATTTCATTTCTGCTGATGTTGAATACCTAAGGAATATAGTTAGTTGTGGCTAAAGCTGATTGCACTAATGAACACAGATTTTGATTTTCTTGGTATATATACAGTACAATAAGACCCTTCACCTACAAGTGGTATCACATACGTACTGCACAAAATAATAGCAGTGGAAAATTCAATTTCTCAAGTGAAAAAAATGTATCACAAAGCATTTACCACTACTGCCTCATTATCATACAATCATTTGCCTCAATACAGAAGTCATTAAAGGGTGTTATGATGTCATGATAACTGTGACAAATTTTTTGGATAAGAAGTCTTGAAATCATTTACAATTATATATATACATATTTATTTATTTACAATCTCTCTCTCTCTATATATATAAAGACATAATAATAGGCTAAAAATTAAAAACAAAATTTTTAAACTCATCCTGCGCTATAGTTGGAGGACTGAAATAAAATAAACTTAAAGCATCTAAAGTTTAAATTAAATTGGAATCAAAGCAAGGCAATTCCTCATTAATATTAATAATTGCAACAGTATATAAGAGGTTTAACACAATTTCTAAATTTATCAAAATTCAAATTAGAATTCATTAGTAGAACCAATTCAAAAAATAAAAATGCAAAAAGGAAAAATATACAAAATTATAAAAATATAATAAAAATTAATCTCCTTTTACTGAAACTCCAATTCAGAACTCATGTAATTAAAGAACTATAAACTTGAAATAAGTTCTGTATACATTCATGCTTTTAATTTGCCTATTTATATATACACTGCTGTTAACATGAGATGAAATTTACTGATTTTTAAGGCAAAAACTATAATAAGTAACTATGACATGAATAAAAAAACTGCTTACCAAATGAAAGCTTTATAAAAAAATGAAAATCGTTCACATTCTTGCATTATTTTGAAACACTGTCAAATTTATATATTTTTACAATGAGAAATATGAGATAGCAATTAAGCTGATAACTTACACACTATTGGAAAATCTGGGGGCAACATTCTTATATCATTTAGAGCAATTCGACCCGAATCCCCATCATCGAATTCCACATACAACATAGAAGGGTCTGGCAATGGACTAGATGCTTGAATAGAGAAAAAACATTTTAATACTGAAGACAATCTATTTAATAATAATGTTACAAATTATCAATATTATAAAAGTGAAAAATTATTTTTCTGGTTTGGGGCTAAAATTTACTTTCTTTATAATTTATAATATTCACGACAAATTGCTTCAATAAGAAAAAGATACAAAACTAAGTACTATGTAATTTTTATACGTATATATAAAATGAAAAATATGTTACATGGTAACAAAGGATTATATAATTTAATAGAAATAAGTATCTAACTTTTGTTGCAATCTGCCAATAGATGGCCTTGTAAAAGAGACATAATTGGTAGATGAAGAATGAGAAGTAGTGTGACAGTGTAAAGTGCATGTAGTGGCAATGTGTTTTTGACCTCCAAGCATTCGGCTGGTTATACGTAATGTAAATAAAATACTGCATTAATAAATCATAATAATGCAGGGTTTAACTATGAGAACAAAGTCAAAGACTTAAAGAGAGTTCAGACTTTAGTAAAATGTTGAGCATAATGTTAGAGTAGAAAGAGCTTATGAAATAATCAAACATTGGTTAAAATAATTTTTTAAAAAATAAATTAGTCTCTACTTAACAGTATATTTTTAAAACACAGTGCTTTTGCAATATGGAATTTATGTAACATGTTTCTGTAGCTCCACTATTACAGATATCATGGAAATAGCACTCAACTCAATGCAAAATTAATTCAACAGATGGTGCAAAAAGGAAAATTGTGAAAACTTAAAATTTTATTCTAAAACTAAATGAAAGGCATAAACTCATTCAAACTCAGACCTTAATTTTCAGACAGCAAATGTGTTATTTGACAAAAGAATAGTTATGGAAAATTTTTATCTGATAGCTTGCTTTAAAAAAAATTGAATGAATCAGCAATGTTTTAGTTTTATTACCATGAACATGTATTTTATCAGATTATTTAGGGCTACTATTAATACATATTTTATTAGATTATTTAATTTATATTCAGAATTATTTTTATAATTGTTTATTATTTATCATGCATAAATTTTAATGGAATCTCTACAGCCTTCTTAGTAAAAAATCTGTGTTAAATACTTGCTATGTTCACATACATTTACAACTTTGAAATTTGCTAATAAAGTCAAAATAAGCTACAACACCATCACATCAGGATTTGATAACTCGCAGTCTTGCTGGTTAGTTATGACTATCATGTAACTATTAAATAGATACTGTAAATGAGAAATACTAAACATGAATATTAAAGTTACGAATATTTCAAGTAGTACTGTATGCAGTTTTCTTGTCAACCCTTACCAGCAGAGCTGATAAGAGCTGTGTTAATTTTCTACCCTATGTATAAAATTTTAAGTCAATAGGTCTTGTAGTTTAACAGCACATATGCAAATACATGGATGAGTATGCATGCATACATAAATTACTTGTTAAGAATTTTATATGTGGAAGTGGCATAGGTACAGTTAATTCTTTTAAATAAATTTTTAATAACCATGAGTGCATGCAATCTGTCAATAAGATTAAATTTCTAGAATTTTTTTTTTTAATCTGTTGAACTAAAACTATATTTATCTACAATTTTTTAGCTTGAATCACTTGTGAATATATATTCCATTATTTCATATTTTTAACAGCAGATTCTACCAGATTACAAATGATACAGTTTTGTCTAATTCAGTTAAAACAATTCTGCAATTAAAATTATATCTTGATTTTAAAAAAGTATTTTGTTTTTTTTTTGCTCATTAAATTTCTCAAAATTTTTTCTTCTTTTTGTTAGAATTTTTTTTATATTACATGTGAATCTGAAGTACTTACCTTTTGTAATTGTTCCAGGATACAAACATCGATACTGCTGGCTCCAAAAAGCACATATTCTTGATCCTTCAGGTAGCTGTTGTTTATGGGTTGGCTTTACTTCAAGTACCTAGAACAGAAAACTATTTTGTGAGGACATTAATTCCTTATGGCACAGCATTCAAAAGACTATTTTAGATAAAACATCTTCTAGTTTTTATATATGTATGCTGAACATCTTCCCTCCCCCAAAATATATATATCTATATACTTTCGATATAAAATTATACAAATGAATGTTACACAAAATATGTGATTATTAAAGCACAGGGTTTCTTTCAGACCCTATTAAATTAAACATATATTTTCTCTTATTAAATATCAATATGTGGAAGATATTAAGCACAAAGCTAAAATTGATCTTTTTTTTAGTTGTAACATTAACCATTTAACTATCGTGCAAAACTCAAATACTTGTTTTTTCCCCTTTCCTCCAAATATAAACATTTTGATTTGGAAATTGGCCTTAGAAATGTGTCTTTCCACCTTTCACCAACTGTTAAAACTATTTAGTAAAACGTCTACATGTCACACTCAAGTATTTTGAATACTGTCTCTCTGGTTAGGAAAAAAGTTCTATTGCACTAGTTTCTTATTCGAAAATTAACAAAGACTATTCCCTAAAGGCATGCCTTAAAAAAAGCAGTAGTTTCATTGCAATGCCAGTTGAAAGGGACAAAAAATGCATTCCTGTTTTCCATCTTTTTCACCAATTTCTTTGTATGATCCTCATACAACCCTTTGCTACGAAGACAGCATGACCAATTTAAGCCATCAATCAGCATTTTCAGTTTTGCTGCAATCTGGGATGTTAAAAAAAATGGTGCAATGAATCTCTTTTAGCCCACATTTAACTCAGACGATTGTGTGATGCTGAAATTCGATAATACTTTTCTAATCGACAATTCTCTCTCAAGGGAAACAATGAAGTGGCTAAATACAGTAAACTTAAATGAAGAGAAAGTTATGAACAATTTTATATGGTAAGATTACAGTAAGTAAAGATTTATCATGCAAATTAAGTAGATTTAAGGTAGTTAGGTAGATTTCACAAACCCATTACATCTTTATTATTAAATATTGAAGCATCTGTATACATGTTCCTTGCACTATGTAAAAATGGCAGCATGATAACCACCACATTTCGAACATACATAGTTCTTTACCCAAATAAGTGCACCTCGAAGCCTGGATTTTGAATGTTTATTTATTTCATATTTGTATGAATTTAATGAATCCTAGATTACTTAGAATTAGATTAAACTCAGCAATTTATAAACAAAATGTCGCCACTCTGCAAAGCAAAATCTATGTATCAAATTTTAATCAGAAAACTCAGTGATTTAAAAGAAATATACTGAAAACAAAGTGATATTTGTCTTTCAAATTCAATCAGCAATTTAAAAGAAATGTATTGCTACTGCATGGGATAAAATATTTTTATCTTTCCATATGTTAGTTTGTTATATTTTATTTTGCTTCCAAATTTAATCTGTCTGTTACTATTTAACAAACTAAATGATTTAATAACAATAAACACACCTCATCATTTCTATCACTGTCAATTACAGGTACTGAAATTACACCAACTGAATTCAATAAAAGCATCATATATATATATATATATATATTTTCCCCTTTTGTACAGTAACCATTTTCAGCAACTGACCACACAAGCAGCTAGTCTACTAAAAAAATTTAAATCTTTTAAAAGCTGTAATCACATTAAAAAAATTAAAACTAATCATTAAAAAGAAAATCTACAAGAAGACTGCCAAAAACTGTAGTAATAAAATAAACAATAGCTAAATATTTTAATATGAAGGGAAACACTTATGCATTTAACTATTTTGAGCAGCATGCAGATATGCCAGCATGAAATGAACTCATTTCCCTGCAGGATGCTGGTGTGACTAAGCATTTTCTCATTCACCCCTGTCTGTCACACATTTGTGTTACAGTTACGGAACATTTTAGAAACTAATATTTTTGGCATAAGATGGGATTATATGTTCATAAAATTTGAAATACATGCAGATTTGGTCTTCTACTCTAAATGAGACAAAGATGACTCATAAGCACTTAGAATTTGATTATATAAACGATAGACAAAAGGCATGTCCTGGGCTAAGGCTTCCTGAAGGCTCTTTAACCCCTTAACTGCTGCGGGCGTATATATACGCCTTGCTCAGCCAATGCGTTAACTGCCCCGGGCGCATATATACGCTCTTCCAAAATACTATCATTTGCTTTGCGCTGCTTCCTGTACCATTATTCACAAAGATTTTTAAATGCAACACAATGATCTTGACAAAGTATGCGAAGAGCGATACTATTTCAGAGAAGTGTGGGGAGAAATTAGAGAGAGGGATGTGTCTAAAGAGGTGAAAGTAATGACTGTGCGGTATTGGCTGGTGTTGTTTGAGTAAAATGTATTTTTTTTATTCTGTGTCCTCCGTTTTCGTTTACTGCTTGTAGTAGGTTGCAGGAATAAAGAAATATATAACGGATGTTTCAAACCCATTTATCTTTTTTGAATTATTTTTTGATGAACTGCTCATGGTTCATATTGTTACTGAAACTAACCGTTCTGTAGACGAGTGTATGAGCCAACATCTTGCAAACGAAAAACCAAGAACAAAATCGTGGCATTCAAACAGTTCGAAAGAAATATTTTTTTTTTTTAGGCATACTGATTTCACAAGGACTAACACTGAAGTCTGATATTACACTTTACTGGTCTAAAAATAACTTGATCAAAACTCCATTTTAGAGATCTTTTTTATTATAAAAAACATCATTTTTATTATACTTACATCTTTTTATTATACTTTACTCAAAACATTAAATTTTGTGCATTCATTTTTTTCTTTTATTCTTTATTTTGTGAAAGTAAACAGTTTTTAGAAAGCAAAACTTGCCCTTATTTTCCCCTAATACATCGCATAACTATGCACGGCTGTGTGAAAAACTGTGGCACTGGGAAATGAATCTTGTACATTTTCCGTGGCAGTTAAGGGGTTAAATGTGTATGTGGCATTCTTCACGGTTATGTGGAGAAAGAGATGTTAGATCTCTAGTTGAAGAATTCTGTGGTCAACAGTACAATTTATATAGTGATCATTTTGTCATGTCTCCATCACTAGTAGATGAACTCTTTAGATCTGAAACAAATACTTGTGAGACCGAAATGATGAGAACGAAATGAATTATTAAAAATTTTCTGCTGCCCTTAATTAAAATTAGTGAAATGTTGATTTAGCAGAAGAAGAACCTGAACTATACTGTTTTCTAAGTTAGATGGAAAGTGCTTTGCTCAAATGAAAGTTCTAAGTTGAGAAACTGTGACATCTAAGTTAAGAAAGTGCAATATCTAAAGTTAAGAAAATGTGACAGTGATGCTTTGCTTATTCACACTCATGCAAAGATTCTCCAAAAAGGCAAATGAGCTATTATGAATACAAAAACTGTAACACTGGACTGTGAATAAAATACTTTTTTTTTTTTAATTTACCATACTAAAAATAAATTTTAAGTAAAATTTTTAGTTGCCAAATGTATAATGCTAAAAGTCACTAACAAGTTGTGCCTTCCATTGCAAAAGAGTTAAGAAAAACTTCTAAATAAAGACAATAAACTTATTAAATACTTACAGCTGCATTCAAAATTTCTTCCTTTGAAAACATGTGAGGTCGAGCAGCTCTCTCACCATCAATCAAAATACCATACCTTAAAAATAAATAAAATACCTTTAAAATTATGATTAAGCAAATAAAAAAGAACGATAAGGAGATAAAAATGCATTATAAATTTCTATCCCAATAAGAGTGTTTTACTTATGCAGTAACCCTCTTAAATAAAATCAGTCACTTTGAATATTTTTAAAGGGCCTTTTGCCGTAAAAATGATTCTTTAATCAGTCTTAATCATGTCTTTAATGATAGATTGCATCAATTAAAAAATCTTGTTACATTACAAAAAAGTTTCTAAAAGAAGGTAGTAAATTACCAAAAAATAGCATCAAAGATTCCAATATTTAAGAAAACAATTTCACAGAACATCTCTAGAGAAATTTTGTCATTCTAAGATGAAAATCACAGTACACAGTGTAACCACCCATGAAGACAATATTTTAGATTTTGAAAACTAGAAGCTTTATGATTTCAGAGCTACAAATTTATGCTTGAGAATTTCATACAATATATCAGTATGTAATAGATGCAGTGCAGCAGAAGTAGAAGAATTCCAGAAAAACTCACATTTTTAAATGAAACAGATATATAAACATAACTTAATACGTACATATAGTGCAATATATGCTGTTGCTTAAAAAAAGGTCTACATAATGGTCCTCTGAGAAAGAATGATGGGATTTCCTGAGGTCTCTCTCAAGTATGTATTGTGTGAAATGAAGTGCTTTTATTTAATTCAGTCACTTAAAAGATCACTAAAAAAATTAATAAATTTCAGTATATGCACCATTAACAACATAACATACGAAATCTGTCTAAAAAGTATCCAACCTCGAATTTTCCTGCACATAGTGAGTGAATGACTGCACTGCTATAATGGCTTCTGATCACGGACATGAACCAAACAAAATTGTATACCATCAGTGTGGGGACCATCAAGTCCAAAGTAACAAAGTTGAATAATACATATTAATAACAGTTTTTACAGCTTGATAATTGCAGGCACCAAGCATTATTCTGATTATTTGCTTTAAATTCTGAATATTTGAAACATAATATTATTCATGTAGGGTGGCACCGCTATGCACATTGGAAGGAAACAGTTTAATGTACATGCTTGAATTTTTTCTCCATGTTCAAATGTGGCAATCACTGCCTGCTTGCCATCAAGTAAGGTACTGACCATTACATGAATTCACTGGATTTTTGATTTTTCTCAGGATGATTAAATGAGCAAAGATATTGCATCAAATTTTCTCAAAACTTTGGTGATTCTTAAATTGCAACAATTTGTAAGATTCAGTAGATATTTGGAGACAATCCTATGGGAGTAACACAAATTAAGAAGCGGTTCAACTGACACAAAAATGGCCACAGATCAGCGGAGAGCTATCAGTGTTCAGGAAGGCCACAAACTACTTGGAATGCAGCCATTGTTGAGAGGGTGGAAATCTGTTAAAGGAAGATCATCGTTTGACCATCCAAGAGATTGCTGAAGAGGTGGAAAAATAAAAAAGATCCCACAAATGCAATTCTGCATATTGATTTGAATATACATAGAGTGGCTGCGAAATTTAAGCCCAAGCTGCTGTCAGAGGAACAGAAAGAACTCTGTCTTGAGGTTAGATAGAACCTGCTAGATACTACCAGCACTGACCATGCGTTTTTAACCGCTTGCCTGATTATCCCGAGTTATCTCGGGTTCGTATATAATGAAGTTATTTATCATCCCGTGAAAACTTGGGCGAAGCAGAAGTTGTTAAGTACGATTTGTTTTATCACGGGTTTACTCAGCCTGGAGGAAATGAAAGGAAATATTTAGCTTTGATTGGCAGTTTGCCAAATTTTGTTGGTTGCGCAGTTCTTTTGGTGACGTGTTTCCTTATTGTATAGTATACGTCGGCTTGTGGATTAGTAATGCATAAAGAAGAATACATGTGTTGAAAAAAATAAAAAAATGGCGATGGTGCAAGATGGCGAAACGATGATTTTTCAGATAGTGATTATGAAGAGGTGAAAAAATTTTTAAAAAAATCAAATTTAATGAAACAGTGTACTTTGTGCTCCCGTGAAAGATATTCCAGCAGTGAGCCAGTAAGAAAAGAAACCAGATACCAGTGTAGAATGTCAGGGTATCACTTTGTGTTGTCCCTTGTTTTAAAAATTATCATACAAAAATTAATACAGTCAAATACCGAAAATCCGCCTACCTGATATCCGCCAACTCCTGAAATCCGCGTTGCCTTTCAAAATATAAACATTCAGTTTTTTGGTTCCGGAAACCACAACATTGAGTACGAAATATCGAAGAAAAAATACTTACCAAATAATGACGGCATAATTACTGAATAATAACGAGTAATAACGGAAATACCAAATTATTGACATTATGATAAAAGTTTTACCCCCTCTAAGCTGCATCGAGGTAAAAAAGCAGACAATTCACTCAACTCTTCCTTCAAGTTCATGATTCACATTGTTGTATTTTCTGAGCTTTGTTATTTCACAAGACTATCAAGAGCTGCCTTTTTTTTTAATCTGGATATTTTGTGGATAAATTAAGAATATTTTACATTTCAGCCATTTTTAATACAATCACAGATAAGAAACGCACTCATTTTACTGCTTGCAACATTGACAAATGTAAACACGTTGCATTGACAGTAATGCAAAAAGTACAAATTCTGCAAAAGATGGAGACAGGTGCTACTCCTTGGTTTATAGCAGAATTGTATGGAATTGCGACACAATTGCGTATGTGTACGGTTGTATGATATAAAATAAAAAATAAGGAAAAGCTGTTGAAATTTTACAGCAACACTGATTCTAACACCGGAATCCGAAACCGGAAATCTTTGCATGAGGCGAAATCGGCAAACCTTGATGCTGTGTATATATAATACTATGAATAATATAATCAATTTATATATGAAATAATAATTTAATGCATATAATAAGTTATTGCAATAATGTATATAATAATTTAATTAAAAGTATCTAATACGCCTTATTTATTTTGCACTTTTACTCTGAAAATTATGATTTATCTTTTCTATCCTGAAATCCAGAAAATCCTAAAATCCGCACAGTCTCTAGTCCGAAGCTTTGAAGATTTCTGGACTTCTACTGTATCTAACCTTTTTTTCGCTTGCCCGAGATAACTTGGGATAGTAAACTAATATTAAACTAAATGCTTTTACCCCTTCAAAAAATTAAAAATTCAACTTAAAAGGCACATATTTTTATTTGTTTCATTTTGTTGCATTTATAATAATAAAATAAAAAAAATGTGATGAATTTTTTTGCAATTTTTTTCAAAAAAAATTTGTAAGGGAAGCGGTTAAACACTGTGATAACTGAGTCACAGATCTACAAGTATGACTAAGAAACATGCAAAATCAAAGTGATGCTAAATCTGTTTTTTGATATCCAAGGAATCGAGCATCACGAATTGCACCACCAAGAGGACAAAGAGTGACAAAAAAAGTACTATCAACAGGTTCCCCACCGACTTTGTGATGCAGTTCGATGCAAATGTTCAGGCCTGTAGATGATAAAAAACTGGCAGTTATATTATGACAATGCTTCAGCACATTCTCACACATGATCCATATTTTCTTAGTAAAACATGGATTCCCAGTTGTTCACTAACCTCTTCCAGACTTGGCTCAATATGATTTTTGGTTGTTTCCAAAACTGAAGACGACATTGAAAGGATCCTATTCTAAGAGCAGAGAAGAGATAATGCAGAAAGCGACAACAGAGATAAACACCATCCCAAAAGATGCCATCCAAAGTGTGGAGTGGCAGTGGAAAACTCAGTGGGCTAAATGAGTGAATGCACAACAGACGTATTGAAAGGGGATTGAGATCCCAATCCTGTCATGTAAGTAATATATATTTCCACACCAAAGGCTGGTCGAAATCTTTTAAATAGGAACCGAAGTGTTCCTAATCAAATAGTGTGTGAAGCATCAAACATCCATTTCTCGAGCTGCCGGTGGAAATTCAGAAGGCCCGTCGCGTCGCGTTCCCACGCAACACTAGCGCCATCTATCAATTAATCAAAATGATTTCCACACACACCCCACCTGAACTCAGTCAAGAGTTCACAACAATCTAACAACAATCAAATTTTTTTTTCAATAAGCATTTTAACATATAATGATAAAACAATTAATAAGTATATTAAATGTATAGAAAATATATTCAAATTATAATCACTATACTAAATTCTAAACAATCTATGTTATCATCAAATACAATTTGACACTACATCAGTAAATCTAAACTATTCTTAATCTAATCATATGAAATAAATTAGCAAAATAAACAATTGCACAAAACATATTCAATCATATTCATATTATTAAACAATAAAAAATGTTTTAAAGTTTCTAAAGGATATAATAATTGAATTGGTCATTTTATTATTGTTCCATGAGCAGTTTTTAGTTCACAAGAACAAACTTTGTTATCACGACCACGAAAAACGTTTATCACTCTACCACAGTTCCACAAAAGTTTGCACTTGTTGTTGCCTTTGATTAATACAAGATCATCAACTTTTTTATCATCATAAACGTTAGGATTTTTTAATTGATGAGCTGTCCGAAGATCCATCAAATATTGTTTTTTCCATTTAGTCCACAACTGTCTAACCAATAAATCTTGGTAAATCTTTCTTTTGGTCTGAGAGGACTTAGTAGAGCCATCTTTAACAATGGAGTTAAAGCTAATAGGTAACGTAGAATCCTTGTTTCCAAAAATCAAAAAATTGACTGGCTTCAGTGGCAACAGTTCCTTGTGCTCATTGTATACATATGTCAAAGGACGAGAATTCAAAACAGCTTCCACTTGTGCTAAAACCATTGACAATTCTTCAGACGTTAGTAAAGCTTTACCCAGAATTTTTCTTAAGCACCCTTTCACTGATTTTACTAATCTCTCGTAGAAGCCTCCCCACCAAGCCCCTCATTCTATCATAAACTTCCAACTGATTTTTTCATTCGACAGAAAATCTTGGAATTTCTCATTCGACAATAGTTTAGAGAAATGTTCAAGTTCCTTTTTTCCCTTTTTAAAAGATTTTGCATTGTCCGAATAAATTACTTGACAATTGCCTCTCCTAGATGTGAATCTTTTGAATGCCATCAAGAAAGAATCTGTAGAGAGATTCGGTACAAGTTCCAGATGTATGGCTCTAGTGATAGTGCAGGTAAATAATGTTATATAAGCTTTTTGACTTCCTTCAATGTTTTTTACGTAAATCGGCCCAGCAAAATCGATGCCAGACACGTAGAATGGTGGTGTCTCATTGATTCTGTCTTCTGGAAGTTGAGAAGTGGTCTGGTCAGCAGACTTCAATGAATATCTTTTACAATTAAGACACCTGTTTATTATTTTCTTGACAAATTGACATCCTTTTGGGATCCAAAAGAGACTTCGAATTTCAGCTAAGGTCGCTGCTACTGATCCATGCATCATTTTAACATGTGCAACTTTCTACTATCAAATTCGTTTGCCAGGACCCTCTTGAAAGAATTGCCGGATGTTTTTCATCATGTGACAAACTAGAATGTTCTAATCTTCCACCTGCTCTCAGTATCTCGTTCTGGTCTACAAATGGGTTAAAAAGATATACAGATGATTTCTTTTCGACTTCATTCGCTTTCTTCAGAGACTTGATTTCTTTGGGATAAAAACGTTCTTGTTCAGATTGAATCCAATAATTTTCAGCATCTACTATTTCTTCAGTCGTTAATGGACCTGTCAAATGGTTTGTTTTCCTAATTTTACCACAGAATTGCATCATCCAACCAGTTATTCTCAACAATTTTCTTAAATTACTATATTTTAAGATGTCTATAAGCCTTTCTTCAACTGCTGGCACACAAATTCATAAATATCAATAATATTCTTGTGGTGTTCTAATTCTTCTTCAATGACAGGTTTCTCTTCATTCTGTCGAGGCCACAACTCAGATGGCATTCAAATCCATTCTGGTCCTTGAAACCAGATAGGATTGTTTTCCAACTTATGAAGTTTATCTCCTCTCGAAGCCGAATCAGCGGGATTACATTAATTCGAGTTTTAACGGAAAGCTTAAATTTCTTTGCACAGTCTTTTATCCAGAAAAGTGTGATTTTCAAATCAGTCCAGAAAAAACAAGAAAGTTGTAACTTCAAAACTTTAGTGATGCTAGTGCCCAGTTTGGCTGATAAAAGAGCTCCCATTAGTTCCAACCTAGGTAAGGTGAGCGGTTTTAAAAGCGCTACTCTAGTCTTTGAAGCAACAAAAACCATAAATATTTGTTCATTGCTAGAAATTATACGCAGATACACTACTGTACCATACGCCTTTTTGCTAGCGTCAGAAAAACAATGCAGTTCAATCATTTCCACATCACTGTAACCGATTGCAGAAAAATAATATCGTGGAATACTGATTTCGTCCAAATTGGAAACTTCCTTGCACCAAGTTTTCCATACAGAACATAAATTTTCTGGTAGTTCATCATCCCAATCTAAAGCAAGTGTCCAAATTTGCTGCAATATGATTTTGACTCTAAGTACAAACGGTGATAATAGACCTACAGGATCAAAAATTCATCCTATTGCTTGTAGGACAAAACATTTAGTATTAACTTGTTTTGATAGAAATGTTATCAAATTTTTTACATCAAAGTAAATTATGCCACTTTGTTTGTCCCAAGCGACTCCTAACACTTTCAACGGAGGATTTCTAGCTTCCGAAATTTGAGGAGATTCCTCGGATTCAATACCTTCTTTAATCCATAATTCGTGCAGTTCTTGAGAATTGGTGCGCCCTTTATGTAGAATCATACTAGCATCTGTAAAAATGCTGACGCATTCTAAACTGGTATTGAAAGCAAGTTCAATGTTTTGGTATCCTCCAATGATGTCATCTACATAAATGTGATCATTTAAAATTCGCAAGTGGCAGGGTAGGTTTTCTCATATTGTTTCAAATGGTGTTTAATGGTTGCAGCCAGTAAAAATGGAATAAAAAATTTTTAGTAAACAGAAAATGTGTTACATCTCTGTCTTTCTCATCTACTTCTATCTGAAGAAAAGCCTGCTTTATGTCACTTGTAAGTGTTACAGAATGAAGCCTGAAGGCCAACAAAAGTTTAAAAATGTCAGGATACAAATTTGGACCAATATGCAAGCAGTCAAGATTTCACCAGGTCCATGTGAAGACCGTCGAATACGATACGTAGTTTACTAGTAGTTCGATCACGATTTTTCTGTGAGGCAAATAAAATGTGATTTGAGATTCACTATCAACAGTGTCTGGAACTGGTTCAACGATGTTTTGTTGTAAATAATCTTGTAGAACTGTTTGGTACGAATAAAAGAGTTCAGGGTTATTCTAAAACTGCTTTACAAGTTTCTCAAATCGTTTCAGCGCAATCGCTTTATTGTCATTTAACTCATATTGTCTATCAGACTTCCATGGCAGCCTAACCTTGTAACAAGAATTTTTGTATAAAATTTCCGATTTGAATTTTTCCATTATGATACTGTCTAATGGGTCGGATGATTCATTTTCAGGTTTTATACCTAAACTTTCAAGCTCCCAAAATTTCTTTATCTGATCAGATATTATATCTTCTTCAACTATGATATTAAAATCTGTGGACGTGTGTGTTGTACCTTTAGTGTAACCTAGCAGAGACCAACCAAATAACGTTTCAGCAGCTACTAAATGTTTGTTTATATGCTTAAGTTTCACTGTCACTATATCATAATAATGATCAGCTCTTATCAAAAGAGTAATTTCCTAATCAAATAGTGTGCGAAGCATCAAACATCCATTTCTCCAGCTGCCGGTGGAGAGTCTATGGAAATTCAGAAGGCATGTTGCATCGCGTTCATATGCAACGCTAGCACCATCTATGAATTAATCAAAATAATTTCCACAACATTCATATCAAATGCCAAAATTATGACTCCTGCCAGATTCCTCTACCATCTACCTCAAACATCTTTAATCAACTTACATGCTTGCACATCTAATTATTAAAGCATTATGAAAAACTTTTAAAGCTGCATGCAACAAAGATGGCTTCATCTCTCAAATTAACTTACTTAGTCAGTGTCTTCTATTTACATCTGCTTGATATGGCAGAACAAAAAGATCTGTATCAACACAATGAACTGTATTGCAGATATTGATATTCTGAATATATTTTCTCATTTATCATTTCAAGTTCGAAAAGAGAAATTCAAAAACAGCTTTGAAAATTACACAGCTTTTAAAATTGACTTAAGTCAATTTAATTTTATAAGTTTACATTACATATTCTAACTTCATATCAAATTAATTTTGAAAAATGAATGAAGTGATTTAATTTATGGGTTTACACTATCAAATATTGCTGTTATATATTTAATAATAATACATGGAATAATAAAAATCAAGGAATGGATAAAGCTATTAACTGTAACATAAAATGCTATATGATGATGCCAAGTATTTATAAAAATGAAATATAAATTAAATTGGTTTTTTTTTAACTGATTTACACTGAAACTTATTACGTTTACACATTGCTATAGCAAAATATTCTAAAACCTAAAAAATTTCAAAATACCACACATTATCACACGCCTTAATTATCACTAAATACAACTGTAAAATTTGTAGTACAATTTAAAGCATTTAAAAATTTCTATACTCACATATCTGGATCTTCACTTTTTGTTATGTAGCCCGCATAAAATAAACCTTCATCTAAAACCAGAAGACGAGCATTTTCTTGCAATTCATCTGGCGTGAGAATGCAGGATTTCAGCTCAGGATATTTAATGCTTTTTTGGCCAATTAATACACTTAATGGAATGTCTTCACTTTGACCAGAACTGAAGTCACTGCATTCGCTGTCTGTTGACAACCTTTTCTGCCTTTCTGGCATTGGAGCTGCACAATAAAAAATGCATATTACCAAATCTTAAAAATTCTGATGATATTTATGCACTTTGTTAATGTATAATCATAGCTATTATTATAAATAATACCTCAAATTACATGTAGTACATTAATCTTCTGAGTGCCATGATTGGATTAGCTTATAATTTAAGCTATTTGGCTCTCTTACTTTCTTTAATAATGCAAATGTCATTTTAATGACAAAAGTTTATGAAAATATACAAAGTTAGGTCATAAATGCTGCTTAAATACAGGTCTTCATGACAGATCTAAAATGCTGTGCTTCAGAAGGTTAAAAGAATGTAACAGATATTCATCTCATTCTTCAATATGCAACTATCAGGTCTGGTACGCATTCAATGACAGATTTACAAAGTCTCAATACACTATACAATACTGTGAAAGGTTTTGTAATAAAAATTAAAATCTGAAGTATTAATATTCAGCTGATCTTAATACTGTGTGAAAGTAGAATCTTCTTTGTTCAAGTATTGACTACTTACACGTGGTCTTTGTCTATGATCAACAATATAAATATCAGTGTGATTTAATATGATCTTAAACGTGGAAGTGGTGCCATAATTTTGATTTGAATCATAAAAAAGAGGAGAGATTTCTTAAATATAAAAACTTGCAGTGTTAGTTCTAAAAGTTTAGATCCAAAAAATAAATCACTTCAATATAAGCCTTCAAGCTTGAAACTCTAATAATTATGAAATTTTAAGACTTCAGTAGAAGATGAACATGCCACAGATAAACTCATGAACTTTCTGAATAAACAAGGTGAATTAATTGAATGTGTATGTTTGAAGAATCATAAGCAGATCAGTGGCTACATACATACAAAGCTTAATGCCTCCACATCCATGGAAAGCTCTGACGGAACTCTGCTCAGTCATCAAACTTCTGAATAGCAGGTTAAGCCAGAATAGTCAACTAAGATCTCTAAATAAAAATCATGAAACTGATAATGGTTAAGTTCATGAGACTGATTAAAGTTAACTGCTGATATGACTGGTTCAATAACAGATTTAGGTGATAGATTTAGGATAATATGACGGATTTAGGTGCTTCACACAAACAGCCTGCTGGTGAATAATGCAATGTAATACCAGAAATTTTGAACATTTAACTTCTTCACAAGATTTGAAAATTTTTCAAACTCATCCTTTCTTCATTCCACACCTACATTTACCACCATCAGTGGTGACCCATTTTAATCGACTCCCTTACAAATAGTACAGCGTTAAGAGTTTTCACCTTTAGCTGCTCTATACAGAGTAATCATTGAAATTAATTCTTTAATGATTTCAAATTTAGTATTAACTCCTCGAATAAACATAAAAAATTGGACAGTATTAGTGATGTCTGTAGACTCATTGACAGATAAAGAAATGCATTATTTTTTTTTTTCTTTGTACTTTAATTGACTGCAGATGTGACTCCTGATGTCTTCAACTTTTCTAACAGTTGTTCTTGCAGATTGAAACAAATCCATTTCCTCTGGTCACATTTCTTCAGTTGCCACAAGCAAACATGACTTAATTAACTTACCATTGCTTAATGGTTTCATTTCATGACTAATAAATGAGCTATTTGCATACTGACTTATAAAAAGCTCATTTATTAGCCATAAAAAGAACAGCTGCTATACTATTTTTACAAATTAAATTGCATTGTGATGAAGCATTCTGTTTTACATTTCCCAATTTTAGTGATAATTTATTTTCTGTGTCATTTAATTCTATGACAAAATAATTCCCGTCATTCTGTTTTAAAAGCATAACATTTAAAGCCCACTTTTCTTTTCCTATCTCATCTTGAAAGTAAAGTGATAAATAAAATGCAAAGAAAATATTACAGAGCAAAAAATGCCATGTGTGTCGCTACAGCAAAACAGAGAAAATTGGCAACACTGTTCAATGGAAATAGCCAATAATAGAATGTGAATATGCATTCATTATCCTCAACTTGGTTTAACTTGATTAACTTCAGAAGCATAACTTTATTTTATTTATAATTTTTAATGTAAAAAGCTATATGAACCTGCAGGCTAGATTAAAAACAGTTGGTGGGCAGGATTTTACCAGCAAGCTGCAGTTTGATGACCCCTGGCATAAACTATGAACTTAAATAGCATTTTCCAAATTCATTACACTTATTTGCTACACATTATAGTCTTCAGACATTTAGATATCTTCTTAAAGAAGAAACATTTTCTGAATGGAGAAGAAATCAAAGGCTCCACTTAAGGTTTTTATTATGTCTAAAACTTCAAATAAATAATTTAAAAAAATCATAGTTATGCCTCCCTGTATCCATTATCACATACATTCAGGCAGATGAAAATTATTTTGATTTACCCAAATTTGTTTTCTAAAAATTAGTGTTAATTTTCCCTCAAAAGCTGACATTTCACATACACTAGCTTAAAATTAATTTCTACTTCCTCTTCGACAGAAGAAAGTACTGAAGTACTATATTATATTATAATAAAATAATATTTTTAATGTAAACATTTTTCAGAAATACTAAATATTACACCAGCAAATATGTTACCTCAGAAACAAACTTTCATCTTGGCTTACACAAATACATGTTAAACTTAAATGTAAAATAAGCATAAATTGTTTCAAAAGTATGAAGATGCAATTTTTCTACTATATAATTATACCATAAAATAACTAATGCAGTATGTATAAATCTAATTCAAAATAAAAGTACTATTAGAGGAATTCCTTCCGAAACAAACCAAGTAAGTTATAACAGTTTTTACGGCATATTATCAGACCAAAATGCTAACAATTTAAAAAGACTACAACATATTTACTTACTTTTACTGGACGATTGTTCGACAAATATACTAAGAGGCAAATTTTCACTGGTACTTGAAGCTCCATCACTATGTTCACTATCAGAAGAAGAAACTTCCTCATCACAACTACTACCTGAGTCACAGCTCTCACTTAAAGAACGCTTTTTTGGCAAATTTGATTTCTGAAAAAAAGAAAAGAAAAATACAGTACATTTTAAAATAATTTAGACAAGCATGTAAAATCAACGTTCATGGAAATCCAAAGACATTAATTTTAGATTTAATCAGTGAAAATTACATGAAAAAACAGACATTATTCATCTAGCAGAAAATCAAATATGTCTTAAACCTTTTCTTTCAAAGCTAGCAGGAGTGATGGCACTATGATAAGAACAGATAATAAACAGATTTCTATATCGAGTTACTACAAAATACCCTCAAATTTGAAGTATAAATAAATAACACAACTGAATTTAATATTCAAACACACAGAAATAATTTACTTTAACTAAGAAACAGAATTAAAAAATAAAAAGGCACATTCAGTTGACTTACAGATTTTTTTAATCCTCTGCACTTCCCTTTCTTCCCTTCACTATCATCCTGTGATTTATGTACATTGGTAGATTTTATGGAATGCTAAAATGAAAAGGAGAACATTTACCTAACTTCTAAATACAAAATTCAGATGAAAAAAAGAGATTCAAGAATTAAAAAGTTTTGTGCCATACATTTTTAGTTTCCTTTTATTTAATGTCAGCTACTACTTCTTCTAATTTGACTTAAGAAGACAAAGTTACAATTTCTTAACTTTCTCGATGTACAGTTAAGGATCAGTGATTTAATTTTTTAAATGTGTTCATTGAAAAAAGCTGTGCTTTATTTATGTAAGATGTTTGTTATACTACGAACAAAACAGATTAGATCTCTTTAAAGTAATAACATATGCATAGCATTTGAAGTATTTTTAAAGTAACAATTTGTGGTTGACTAAAAGCATAATTTTTTTATGTTTTATAAAATATATATTTGTATGACTTTTAAAAATAATCAACAGTGAAGCTATTCTCAAATGTACACAAGATTTTTATGTGGACTGTAAAATTAGTAAATACATACATAAAATAATGCTTTTGAGGCATATAAAACATTTAGCTACATCCTGATTATCAGCATCCCTACTGAAACATTGCAAACTCATTACCTACTTTGGAAAGCATTTGAAAACTCATTGGGGATTAAATTTTTTCATCACTAGTAATGTATGAAAGCTAATGCATGAAAGGCAGCTTTCAAATGTTTTCAACTTTCAAAATGTTGGCACATTACAATTTCCATACAAGAACAGTTAATCAATAAAAAATTTAAACAGCATTAAACTGGGTATCATACAACTTTGGAATTGCCCACTGGTCAAAACAGACACGTGCTGTGTGCATACCTGGGTTGTAGCATAAATACATTTTGGCAACATCATGAGTTGTCACACAACTATTTTGGCAATACACTGCTTTGCCTCAAGAATATTTTGTGACTTTTTGGTAGAATATTGAAATAATCAGGAAGGACCAAAATATGTTATGTTAAATTTTATTTTCCTTTTCAAATAAGAGAATGATTTTTCCCCATATAAATTTTAATTACTTATTCAGACAATTTTATGAAATGCATACATAAAAACGAATTTCATTACCATTGCAACTATTGAATCTTTTAAAAGCTTGTACTAATTTTATAATACACTATTTATGTTTTACATATTTACAAACTTTGTTTTAAATCAATTTTAATTACTTATGCAACTGAACTTCATTCAGACAATTTTATGAAATGCATACATAAAATTGAATTTCATTACCATTTCAACTATTGAATCCTTTAAATGTTTGTATTAATTACATAATATACTATTTTTTTTACATATATTTACAAACTAAGTTTCTTCTGATTAAAAGTTTCTGATTTCAAGAAAGGATTTAATAAATAATAAATGAAATAAAATTTTACAATTAATTTGAAATCAGAATCTTTTATCATTTTCACATAAATATCTTGGTCATCATATGGCCAGAACGATTATTATTCTTGTATTCACAAACATAATGTTTTATATTATAATCCTACCTCTTTTTTTTCTTTATGATTAACATCTACTGATATTTTCTGAGAAGCATTTGATCCACTACGCTTATTTTTGTCAGTAACAGCAGACTGTTGTTGTTGGACAGCAGTAGAACGAGCATCACTAAGGAATATTCGTTCACTTCTTCGAACAAACCACGCTTGCTCATCAAAAAATGGTGTTTTGCTTTTGTCATTCTAAAAAAAAAAAAAAAAAAAAAAAAAAAAAAATATATATATATATATATATATTAAAACAAAATACACACATAATATATAAGTGTAATAATTTAGTTGTAGATGATTGCACACACCTGTGTTGTCCCCCTAAGAATATTTCTAACATCCAAATTTATTTATTTACTTTTAAAGAAGAGCCAGCTATAGCTATGAACTGAATGAGTCTTAGTATTTTCACCAGTCACATTTCTCTGGCCATGCACATAGCACTACCTCACACACACACACTAGACACATTTAATTTTATTATTATTATTATCATGCTTTTATAATCATACGGTAATGTAAAAAAAATCTGTTTACAAAATTTGTAAGATCTAACTTGAGTATAGAAGCTATTTGGCTTAACTTGAATTTTAATTTTTGTATACTTATGCTTAATATTTCAATTTTGATATTTATACAACGCTTAACAATCCTTGTATGAAGAACAGAAGTTTGTGTTTAAGCATCCTGCATCCATCAGCAAGCAGTTGTGCTGTAGATGACCAGCCCCATTTTTCATCAACATTTAGTATTATATCATATTGTATTTTATTAGTTTCTGTGTACTAATATTCAAATGGTTTACAATTAGAAAATATGGTTTTATTTTATAATGTGTATAAGGATAAATTTTAATAGAATTTCATGAATATATAATAGAAATATTTCAATTTTAATGATTACAACTCTTAGTTTTACAAAACACTTACAAACAACAAGAACTGTTAAAGTTATAGTGTGATATTCAAACAGCATTTCAAGAATTGTGCATGTTTTAACTATTTTGTGAAAAAATAGATCCAAAATTTAGAACACTTATCTGGAAAAAACATTATCTGGAGAAAAAATGTTAAGAACTTTAAAAACTTATATTTTAGTGATTTTCAAAATGGACACATTTAACTTAGAGATTACATAATATTTTGTTCTAATAGCTCCAAATATCATTTTCCTGCGTTATTTTATATAGTCAGATATAAGAAAGTTCATGAACCAAAATGACGAAGCACAGTGAAACCTAACGACTTACATGATTGCTTTCATATTTACTGTACATATTGTACAAAGTTTCTCTTTCTTTTCTAACAAATTATGCTTTTTCTACAAAGACTTTTCTTTGAAGGGGGAATATGCAAGATATAAAATATGAGAGAAAGTTTCTAACAGATTACTAACTTAATTGGCAATAGCTCTTTTAAATCCTGACATTAATTTAGACACAACCCCCTTCAAAGAATCTTTAGTGATTCACTGAACTGTAAACTCTTATCCAATCACCATTTAATACAATATTAAAAAGGAGCCAAGCTTATAAATACTCCAGCTTATCAACATGCAGCCTCTTTTTTTCTGCCTTCCCTCGTCTAACTAGGATCTGTTCTGTGCTCTGGAGCTTTCATCAATCATCTAAAAATGTGATGTGTCTTACATACAAAATTATAAGGAGCTTATAGCATCCATAGTGTTGTGCCAATTAAGAAGATATGTCTTACTAGGTTAGTTATAAGAAAATAAATCTATGTTGTGATTATTTTTTACGGTTTTCAAAAATTCCATCTAATTACGATGGAATCTGCATGTCTGCCACATCTATCACCACTCTTGTCATGCCTATGGTTACGTGGTGCCTTCCCTAGTCAGTTCTCCTACCCACAACTAAATTATCACATCTTATAACCTGTTGATTATAAAGGTGATAATTTAGTTGTGGACAGGATAACTGACTGTAGAAGACACCGTGACAAATAACGTGTGAATGAATTTCCTTTTCTGATGGGAAAAACCTCTGCCTCTGCTAGCTAGCTCTAGGCTAGCCTGAGTTAAAGTAATTGAAGGGAGTTTTGGACTGCATCCCTGCTGCGTGTCCATTTGTTGTTTAGCAAGAGCAGAAGAAAATGAGGCCTTTGTCTGAAAGATGGTGTCGGAGTAAGAGGTGTCTTACACCTGGGAAGTTTTCACTTTCCCTTCTGTAAAACTATGCTGTAATGTTCTTCTTGTACACTAATTCAGACCTTATTATAACCTGGAACTTCACTTGTTAAGCTTTAAAATAAATCTTCCACTGTTATGTTTTACAATAAATCTTAAAAGACAACCTGTCTTTTTATCATTTTCCATTCCAGAAGTAAGGCCATGTTACAACTCTAACTCTGTAGTCATGGCCAGAGTAGTGACAGATGTGCAGATTATATCATAATTAAATAGAATTTTGGGAACCATAAATAACTGAATAATCACAACATAGCTTTGTTTCTTGATGACTAAATCTATTAAAACATAATCTATTATAACAACTTCTTGATTGACACAACACTCTGGGTGCTATATGCATCATACAACTTTATATAAAACACATCACAGTTTTAGATGATAGATGAAAGCTGCAGAGAGCCAAACAGTTGCTAGACAGATGAGAAAAAGCAAGGGGGGGGCACATATTGAGAAGCTGAGGCATTTTTTTCTTTTTTTTTAAACTTAGTTTTAAATGGTTACTAGATAAGAGTTCAGAGCATTGCGAATCACTGCAGATTAAGGAATGATGTAAGTGATGCAGTACGCATTCTTTGAAGGGGGTTGTATCTAAATTCGTATCAGGAAATAAAAGGGTTATTGCCAATTAAATCAGTAATTTTCTTTCATATTTTATATCTTACTTATCACACAACTTCTAACTTTATACTAAGATAATACATTACAAAATTATTGAATTATTTTAAACCACAAGGAGAATAATGCAGGATGGTAAATAAAATTAGATTATTGTTAATTCTTTTAATATATAAATAAAAATGATAATAACTGTAAACGTTGCCATTTACAATAATTGAAACTGTGAATAATTTGCAATATTGCAATGCTATAAATTTGTAAGTATTGTAAATCACTAATACTTTAAATAATTTGAAAGAAAATATAAAAAATGTACATACACTCATATGTCCCCCCCCCCCAAAAAATGGATGACAAATAGACTATTTAAGAAGTTAAAAATTATATAAACATTTTTAACATGCACTGAAACCTGTGAAAGAGTTAAATATTTCTTTTTACTCCCACTTAAATAAAAAGCCTTTTCCTTCCTAATAAAAACTCAGGTGATTATGTAAATAATAGTTTTATGCCAAGACACACTGGATACAACATTTAAAAATCTTTGTTATAATTACAGTAATAAAGGAAATGGTTATAAAAATTAACAGTTACACATGCTAGTAATCACACGAGTTAAATATGTATTTCAAAATGCCTCAATTACATATTTAAAAAATAATATGAAGATAAATTTTATAATAAAGTATATATACTGCTTAATAAAGCAATAAATTGCTTAAATTTGGACAATAAAAGATCTTCATGCTGAATGCAACCAGCAGTAAGATCTTATTCCTCAGTTATGGCAACACTTGCCAGACAACGTGAGTGAATGTTACCTCAGAAACATAAGATGACAGGACAAAATGAAAAAAAGTTTGAGCTATTGGAATTTTTAATGGCAAAGAAATTAATGACTAACATGATTTTAATTACAGTTAGTACTCCCTGATTAAACATCAATAGTAAATTCCCTTTTCACGGCAGCTATTATTTTAATTTTAATAACAATAATTAATATTATCATGAGAATTTTCTACCTTGTCATAATCTTGATCTTGAGAGCTGCCATCATCTTTACTCATACTGCTATTTGAATCTAAACTATTTTCACTTTTAAATTTCTTAATGGCACATGCAGATTTTTTACAAAATGATTCATCTGGAAAAAAAAAAAAAAAAGATATTGCAGACATTAAAAAAAATTTGCACACATTATAAAATATTTAACTGAATATTACACACTACACAATCACTACTACTTTATATTACACACTACTACTTTGGTGGCAGGAGGAAGGGTCTCTCATTCCTTTTCCAAATCTCCATAAACTTTGAGCTCCCTATTATTTTAAGTTCCTTGATGCTGCAGAGACATTTAATACAAAATCCATGTTTTCTCAGACATTCAAACTTGGACCTTAATGATATAACAGACAGCATCACTGATCCTTACATTGATTGCAGTGGCTTATATAAATGGACATCACACACCGTCTTTAAAAAGTTAAGAAGTGATGGAAAAGTCAACTAACATGAGAAAGTAAAGCTTTGATTTACCAGATTGAACTGAGATAGCAAATATGTTTATGCGTGAAATAAAATAAACAATAAAAAAAAAAAAACTTTTTGTAAACTATGATGTCACATTTAGGTCATCAATGAATTGATATATAAAATAAAATCACGTGAAGTTTACATCAATAAAGAATATGGCCACCTCAGATCTTCATACAAACTTTAGAGCAAATGGCCACGCCAATGAGATTACTAACCATCACAGATGCCCATTCCTCCATTAGAGCAATTCCTAACAGTTTAAGACAGGCTTGGAGGAGGAAAACATGCAGAGGCAGCACTTGTGAGGGATTCCACAGATTTTCAATGGGATTAACCCCTTAACTGTGCGGAAAATGTACAAGATTCTCAGTGCCATGGTTTTCACAAAGGCGCGCGTAGTTATGCGATGTATTAGGGGAAAATAAGTGCAAGTTTTATTTTCTAAAAACTGTTTACTTTCACAAAATAAAGAATAAAAGAAAAAAAATGAACGCACAAAATTTAGTGTTTTGAGTAAAAGTATAATAAAAAGATCTAAGTATAATAAAAATAATGTTTTTATAATAAAAAAGATCCCTAAAATGGAGTTTCGATCAAGTTATTTTTAGACCAGTAAAGTGTAATATCAAGTTTTAGTGTTATACAGTCAAAAGTTTTTAATCCGGACATCCATAATCTGGAATGATCTATAATTTGGACCTCAAAGCTACAAACTTTCTGCACATGCGTCAACGCTTGCACATAATACCTTTACGCATGCGCATAATACGTTTACGTATGCACGTATAATGGACGGTATAAGCTAAGCTAAAATGATCTAATTATCTATTTCAGTTAATGTTACAGATTGCGTTGTTCCTTTATCTTTTAATTGGATCCGGCTTATTATTTTTTGCAGACTGTTAGAGCAATTTTTTAAAAGTATGCTTGAACTTTTGATTATGACAAAAAGAATTTCCAATTCTGGAGCTACCAAAGGATCTACAAAGCGAAAGCATGTTTCGATGTCCATCAAACAAAAAGTGGAATTGCTGCGAAAATGGATAAAGGCATATCCTTTGATTCTCTAATCATTCCGAAATATGTTTATCAAATTTACGCTGCTCTGCCGGGGGGGGGGGGGGGGGGGGCGACACGGTGCGCAATGAACTGGAAGTTGATCTGTTAGCACTATCCTTATCTTCAGGGCAGATGTTTTTATTTGGCTTATAATTCCTTACTAAATGTAGTATTTCATCTCGATGTACTCCATCTTTGATATGATTTAAATCAAATTCCTCTTCATTATAAATATCACAAATACACATCAAACAGTTTTCTGGTTGCAATTTTCTAATTTCGACTATGTGTTATGTATGCTTTAAGCATGCACGCGTTGAAAAAAATGCTTAATAAAGTAAACAAATAAATATAAAGCTTTTTTGTAAATTTTGATACCCTTTAGATCATAATTGCTCTTTATTTCATAAATTACGGTTTCATATTTTTAATTTTATAATTTCTAGCATGCCATCTTACCAGATTTAAACTGATGATCTATAATCCAGAAAAACCAATAATCTGGAATCGATGAGGTCCCGATGAGTCCGGATTAAAGATTTTTGACTGTACGTTGTGAAATCAGTATGCCTAAAAAAACATATTTCTTTTGAACTGGTTGAATGCCATGATTTTGTTCTTTGATTTTTCGTTTGCAAGGTGTTGGTTCATATACTCATCTACAAAACGGTTAGTTTCAGTAACAATATGAACCACGAGCAGTTCATTAAAAAATAATTCAAAAAAGATAAATGGGTTTGAAACATCCGTTATATCTTTCTTTATTCCTAGAACCTACTACAAAAAGTAAACGAAAACGGAGGACACAGAATTAAAAAAAAAAAAAAAAAGTTTTACTCCAACAACACCAGCCAATACCGTGCAGTCATTACTTTCACCACTTTAGACACACCCCTCTATCCAATTTCTCCCCACACTTCTCTGAAATAGTATCCTCCTTCGCATACTTTGTCAAGGTCATTGAGGTGTTGCATTCCAAAGCTTTGGGAATAATTTTACGGGTAGTAGCGCAAAGCAAATGATAGTATTTTGGAAGGGCGTATATATACACCCAGGGCAGTTAATGCATCAGCTGAGCAAGGCGTATATATACGCCCGCGGCAGTTAAGGGGTTAAGGGAATAGCAGGATTTCATCACAATACAGCACTGTCCCAATACTATCTTTAACCCTCTCAGCATTATGGACAGAAAATTCCATGTGAAGAGTGCTTTCTTACACATGAAAATGTTTGCCAGCTTTTAATGTATCCGATTTCGTGTTGAATGTATACTGGAAGAAAAGGCATCAAGGTAAAAAGCGAGAGAGTCATTTTTTAATTATAATTAAAAAAATACCATTTAATCATGACATTTTGAGAAAGTTTAAAATTTCAGGGAAAAGGGCAAATCCTGTGTAATGCTCAGGGAATTAAACATGTTCAGCTGGGTGCTATATTCTATTGGAAGTCCAGTCCAACAAACCATTATGCTGCTACATCAAAATGCATTGTGTTTCATATTTTAGGCCTGATTCTGTTAGCCTCATTTTCTTCAGACACTTACTTATCATGATTCCAAGCCAAATCATTACTTATCTATGAACAGGACGATGTGATAATCTCAGATGGTCCAATTAAGATGTTGACAACACCACTTTAATCCTACCCCTCTGGACTGTGTGGTTAAGTGGAACACAAATACTTCATACTTCGGTCTACAAACCCTTTACAAGAAGCCTTCAGTGCAGAGCAATGGCAGAAATTGTTGTAAGTGACGCAGCAACTATAGGCTGTGGAGGTTGCTCATTGATTCCTCTTGGATACTACAGCAATATACTGATCTTCAAAAGAGATGGTTACTCTCAGGTGACCAGTCACATGACTCCAGACAACTGTTTGACATATTTAGAATGATTTCCACATTTGAGAAATTACCAAATGATTAATGGCAAAGAAAGCAGCAACATCTTTGATTGACTGTTCTGCTTCAATGCGTTTGACAGCATGCCAGAGCTCACTATCTACAATTTGTATTCTTTCAGCCACAGAAAAGCCACAGAAATCACAAATATAAATATCAGAGTATCACAAAAAATTATAAACATTTTGTATAAGCATTTACATGACTCCCCCCCCAAAAAAAACCCTTCAAAATAGTGTCTTCAACTACTGCTTAGTTAACATATACTCAGATAGTAAATCATGATTGACTATAAAATGCCATATTTGCATGCTGTCATCTGCATACACAGCGATTTTTAGCCACTCAAAATCAAATAAGACTTTTGAAAATTGCTAATTTTCATTGTGTGCTTAACTTCTGGAAGCCAGTGTACACTACACAAGGAAACAAATTATGCAACAAATATAAATATACTAGAAAATTAACAGATTTTATTAATGGCTAGCTGAAGTAACTATTTTTTACTACTTGGTTCTTTAATGAAAATTTTGTTGAAAGCCATTTTACAAACTGCATAATATATAAAAATGGCTTGCTTAACACTAACATAAATATTGTTGCCTGGTATCACGATTTTTATACTCTTTTCCATCATTTAATAAAAATGACTGTTTGTGAATTATTTTGTTATAAGAAAACAAATTTACCAGAATTAAAATGTATAGAAAAAATATAATAAATCAAATTCCCTTAATTATATGCCAGAAAAAACCTTATACTTGCCCGTCACAAAATAATGTAAAATTTCTAGAGACCTTTTTGAGCAATATATTAAATGTACACACTGCCAATTAGCAACAACAGCCAAATCATATGAACAACAAACCACCCAAAGAAAATAACCTCATTTTTTATTAGATGTGATAAATATTTCGAAACAAGTGGTACAATGAGATGCAGAAATTTTTGACTGCTTCTTAAAGGGATTAATATATCTATATATCTAAGTTTTCAAGAAAACAATTTGGATTTCATTTGCCATTTACTTTCATTTTGCAGTTGAGAACCTTAACCCATGAAGAATAAGACAACTTTTAGTTATTCTAATGGATGGGAACATCCATTTTTTTAACACAAAACTAATTAAAACATTCCACTTATTAAATGTGTCCTAATCACAAAATGTGTCCTAATTACATTAATGTTACAGAAGTGACAGATTCAAGTGGGTTTAAAATCCTTTTAGAATTTTAAACATTCCCCAAAATACAAATAAACTGATGCTTGAGTCTGCAGAATGGCAAAGTCATGAAGCATTTGAATGCCAATACTTTATATTTTTTTTTTTGCAGATAAGATTCTCTTTGCAATTATCAAATCATTTCACTTTCATAAGCAAATTAAAATTGCTCAGTGACATCGCGTTTTCACTGAGCAATTTTAATCAAGAAATTTTGAAACTCTCTCTTACTTTAAAGAATCATCACAAAAGATAAATAAAATTCCTTAACCTTTTCAGGATGAGTGTGTCACATATGCATCGGCACCAACTGTATTACAGAGCCTGATGTGTCATGCATGCTGTTTAAATGGACTTTTAGAACATGTATAACTCATATGAATTTCAGACAAAACATTTAATTAGTATTCCCTACTAGGTGTAGCCCTAGGTCTGTTATGATGGAATTTATCGAGACTGGAGAATGCTGACCTTCATTCAGTTGCAGTATTTTTTATTTTTGGTATTTTGTTTCAGAATCAAAGAAAAAATCCTGGATTGAGTAATGTACATAAACAGAGCTGGCTATTAACTGCATTAGCTGATACAAATACATATGGATGTTGTCATGCTTCTGAACACATTTGTTTTTATCTTTGACATTATGGAGATATATGTCCTATTGTTTTAGAGGTTTCATTCATTTCTCTTACAGTTTGGCTAGCACTGAAGCAAATATTTTTTGTATCCTTTAGCTAAATAGTTTTTTTGCTTCAAATGACAAAGAAAATATAAAGTTTTCAAATTAATTATGACAACTATCTGAGTATTCCTCTCATAATGTGCCAAAAATTGACACAATTGGACCACAAATTTAATTTATGCAAATAGTTTTCCAAATTTAGGCTTATCAGCACAAATTATCCCTCCTAATAATACACTGCATCCCTCTTAGTGTGGCATTTCAAGAGAGTGGTTTGGTGACTGAGGTACCTGTCGCAAAAGGGTTAATTTAATTTTTTACATGGAAGTCTAAAAATTTACTATTTATTTCCACTAACATTTCAAATTGCTAAGCAGCCCCAATTTATTTTCCATCATTCACAGCTATAATTATAAGACAGAAAATAAAGCAATTATTAAGGTGAAAAGTAATATAACAGCATTACTATTGTTATTATTATTCTGTCATTTTAAAATTATAAGCCATTTTAAGTTTATAAGTCAGTCATTTTAAGTTTATAAGTTTTAAAATTATAAGTCATATTTTATTATATATCATTTTTTAAAACTACAAATATTATGAACTAAGTTTCATAATTTAAAAAGATTTCTTTATCTCTTTTGTTTTACTGAAAAAGACGAAAGCTAAAGATTAGATAACTAATTAACATTAAAAAATAGTTATCCTGTGTGACAGAGAGTAACTTCAGCTATCACTTTTTCAGTAAAAAAAATATTAAAAGCTAGCTCAAAAATACACTTTTGAATCTTACTTGATAAATCAGAGCTTGGAATTGAAGTGTTTGAATCTCCACAAAGAGATGTACTGATCTCGGGAGATGTCCTTACACTTGGTACCTTTTCTTCTTTATCTAAAGTTGATAATTTTATGTGAAATTATTATAATAAAAAAATGAGCAAGAGAAATTTTGTTGCAAATACTTTGATTTGTATCAACTGGCAATTAAATTATCGTCGGTCTCTAATAGACACATTTTTATATGAATTAATAAACTTTTAACTAATCAGAATGCAATAAAGACTATATTACCAAAATCTTGACACTTCAAAGTTAAATGGCACAAAGCAATGTATCTGTATTTAATAATTAATTATAATTAATGAAGAACTAATAAAATGCAAATGTCTCAAAAAAGTGCAAAAATGACAGAAAATCGAGAAACATTGAAACTGTTTTGCTAGAATGGTTTCAAGCTATAAAATTAAGAAATGTTCTAGAGAGTGAAATCTAGAGTATTTTTCAGTAATTCCTTAATCAACAGATGGGTCACAAGCTGGAGAAAGAGAAATCCAATATCGGTCACTTGAAATTGCATGGTGAGAAAGAAGAGGCAGATTATCAACAGCTGGTAATTGGATAGAAGACTAGAGCTGCTAATGAATACAAGCCACACAAAGTTTATAATGTTAGATTAGTGCGACTGTGTTACAGAACCATACCAGAACACACATTTATACTTAACAATACAACATCAACTGGTTTAAGAAACTGAAGGAATGAGTCACTGTGCTATTAATGTGCAATAATGAATCTGACAATTATGAAGACAACACTGGCTACTGACAAATGCAGAAAACCTCAAGGTTTGAAAGGAGCGAAGAATTTACTTTTATCATATAAAAAAGAACTCATGGACGTGAGGTAGTTTTTTTACTGACTTTCTATTGAAATGGGACAGTGAACTGAAAAATGGTAGGTGAAATACATTACTAATTAGTTAACTGTGCAGCACATACATACCTTCTGAAAAACATTAGTATCGCTTCCTGCAAATAAACTTTTTAACTCCCTCCTTTAAACCAAGGTACTATAAAAGCTTTCAAATGTCATTGCAGAAATGGTGTTTAGAAAATGATGAACAGATTTGAATCTTATGAAAAATGCAAGCACCTTGAAGGAAATAAGTAAATTGATAGTTCTGCTAGAGGCCATGCATATTATAGTCCATGCAAGTGGTTACACTCTTAAAATCAGTTAAAAACTGTTTTTTAAAAAATGTGCTTGATGTAGAAGAAGCCTCAGAGGAACTGCAAACTATAGCTAAAAAAGTTCTTTAAAAATTAAAAATCAGACCTTGAGCATTTTGGCCTTTAAATCAGATACCAATATCCAATTGCTCAGAAGTGATAGGTGACAAAAAAAAAAAAAAAAAAAAAAAAAAAAGGAATGGCTTATAGTTCCATATAATGCAAGTTTATATAATATCCATACACACTTGACCTTTCATATTACATACAGCATAAATTTTTGACCCACCTTAATAATTACACATTTTCTATTATTTTATGAATAACAGTTTTTTAAATGCCTTGCAAAAGTTATGGTTTATCTTAAAGACTAGAAAAATCCAATAAAAAATTTAGTTACTTTTAGTATTAAATTGTTTACACACCTGTTATTTCTACTTGATCTTCTTTCAAACACTTCTGGAACAAAAGAAAATAATTATTAACAGAAAATTTTAAATAGGACCTTTTAAATAAGAAGGAAAAAACAGGGAGAATGGTACAAAGTTTTCTATACACAATTATTATTATTATTTTTACCTTGTCATTTTCTGCATTACACTGCTTCACAACATTCAAACTGCAAGTTAAATTTTCATTCATTAGAGCTTCTTCAGGAGATTTGCTTTGCTTTTTCTGCCATGGCTTTGAGACAGAATTTTGGGAATAAATATTATCTTCATTAAATCCAGATGAATATTTTACATGAGAAGCAGATGCATTTCTGACTGGTGATATGGTTTTCCTGGTTTTAGATGGCTTAGCAAGATATGTTAAATCATCATCACTATTCCTGCAAATTAAATTAAAAGAATATTATAATAATTAAATATTTATCATTATATATTATTAAAGAATTCATTATAATAATTAAATAATTATCAATAATTTTTAACTTTAAAGATAAAAAATGTCATGAATTGCAATTTCAGTGCTTCTTAGCAGTATTGAAAGTTATTCTGTCATGCAGTCCTATTATAAAGTTATTCTATTAAGTCCAAAAGTCATTCTATTATGCAGTTATTCTATTAAGTCCAAAAGTCATTCTATTATGCAGTTATTCTGCAAGGAAGTTAATTAGCAACAGTGATACTCCATGATACAATAGACTGTTTGCTCAAACAAATATTACCCTTGAAACTATTCTTTATGGAAAACTTATGAGTAAGTATCCTTCTTTGCAACAAGAACAAAATGCATCCTGATTACATAACGAAATAATGACTTTCACAAATCCAAGTTAATGTAAGAAATCAAAAGTAAGGTTTTTAAAAATACAGTAAAATCCTTTTTATTGAACAGCAATAAGGCTGTGCTGATTACGGATAATTGAATATGTATTTCTAGAACTTGATCATGTTTTGTGATGCCATCTGTAGGTATTACAACATGCAAAGTCCTTCGGTAGTGTTCTTTATCTATCAGCCACAATTAAAGAAATATCAAAAATCACAGTGATTATTTAAAATGAAAACAAATAACATAATTTTATATATCAGAAAAACAAAATTAAACAACATTTAAAATCTAAAATATTTATTATCAGATGTAAGTCACAAATTTCTTAGTACGAAGGCATATCAGTTCGAATATCTGTCTGCTTACTAGATTATTGCCATTGTTATAAAATTTCTTGTGTGTACAACGAAGCTTCCTAATATCACATATGGACATAGTTGAACAATTTTCAGGACTTAAGCTACAATTCTTTTTCAGCTTCTTTTCATATAATTTTCTTGTTCTGCATGTTGTTTTCATCTTTATCCTCCTACTCCTCACCATTATCATTTTCCATTATGTCTGATTATTTAATTGATATCACAAGAAAGTGTGACAGAAATAGTGTGACTATATCCATCCAAGTCTGCACTTCCTTTTCACCCACACTAATCTTTGAATACGTAAGTAAATCCAAAATGCCTGTTCAGAAGCTGGAGTTGTTTCAAAACCAAGAGTATCTTCGTCACTTGATTCATCACTTACAAACATGATAGGCCACAATTTATACCAACTGCAATGTAAAGTAAATTTATATCTTTCCACGAAAGAGACAAAATAAATATGGTGTCCTCCAGAGTGCAGTTTTTCTTAAAATTGTAGACTCTACTTCATGTTCAAACATGGACACATAAAAGGGAATTGGTTGTTCATCTTTCTATTCTGGATAATTATTTGAATCACTAGTTTCATAAGGCTTGTTACATTGCGTAGCAGAAACATAACACGAATATTTTCAGCATTTAAGTCTTTGCTAGCTTATAACTTTCTACACCTCACGGGCCTTAATTTTGGATTAAAATTTAGGCTTTCAACAGTGCCATTATTTTGATATCGCTACTTAACTAGCTGCCAGTTACAAGGGATTTTACTGTAAATGGTTATCTACTAAATGTAATGCTGCATTATGATCTAAACATTTACAGAAATGATATTTAAAGTGCTAACATTACAAAATGAATAAAAAATATAAAACTTACTCTTTTTCTTTCTTATTTTTTAACAATTCTAGTTCACGCTGTTTTTGCCTGTACTTCTTTTGAAGCTCAGCAAGCCGGAGTCTCATTTCTAACTCGGTAGCTTCTCCGTGATCTGGAGATGATGACCCTGAAGAATGTAGAGATGAATCATTAGAATTTGGCTGCTGTAAATGTTCTTTAACTGATGAAACATTTGAATGTGAATTATTGTCCATTTCTTCTTCAAAAGAATAACAATCTCTATTATTCTGCAGTTGTTTTGCTTTGTTTTCATCCACATTCATAGCTTCCTCAAAAAACCTCTGTTCTGCAAGAGCACAAAGAAGGCCTAAGCCATCAGTACATGATGTGTCTATTGTCTTATATGATGGAGTATATGATTTCACAGACAAACTGCAATCAGATTCTTTTGTTTCAGCTTTTACAATTTGCTCATTATTTACAACTTCTTTAGCAACATCTGATGAAATACTTGCTGGTGCCATAACTGTTTGTTTTCCATCTTCTTGCTTGTGATGTGCTTCTTGCTCTCTTGATGCAAATTCCTCTATACTATCCACTAAAAGATTCAGACCATGGTGGTCAATGAAATCCATTACTGGTTTACTTTCTACGGGCAATGATGGAGCAAGCTCCGTTTCAGAAGTAACTATTTCTAACCCAGCTTCAGAATGTACAATATCTTCTTTAATACTAATATTTGGCCCAATTGGTGTTTCAATATCAGAATTAATTGCTGATTCAAACACAGCTGTAGATGGCAAATTTTCTGAAATTTCTTTCCCAACTTGTTCATCCTGAGGCAAAACAACATCTTCCAATTCCACATCAGATTTTGGACTCTCAGATGGAACAGATTCTGTTTGATTAGCTGAATCAGACATTTCAACTTTATTTTCTTCAGTCTTATCAATCTCAATTTTTCTTTCTTCTTCTTCATCTTCTTCAGAATTGGTTTGAGAATCCATATCTACTTGTATGGCTGTTGTAACAGATTGGCTATGACAAGAAGTTTGAACTTGTGTTGTTTCACAACAAGCAACATCATCACTTTCATTGTCACTCTCCTCATCTTCTGTAACAGAAACCTGGACTGAGCAGGTATTTGGTGGTGGTGAAGGGGTTGCACAGTGAAGTGGAGATGTTCCTTGGGATCGCCTGCCAGATTCAGTTTGTATAGAAGCAGTAGTCTGAGTATGAGCAAGATGCATGACTGTTGAGGACTGAAGAACATATGAAAAACTAGATGGGTCACACTGAGTGGGAAAAGTGGTGAAAGCGTACGTCTGTCCAGTTGCCAAAGGTACGCTTGGCACTTGCCCACTAACATCCTCCACTTTATCTTCACTTTTGGCTGTATCACATGCAGTTATATTGCAATTATTATCCATCACATCAGCAGTTTTAAGTGATTCAGCCTATGTAAATGAAAAAAATAAGCAATTTTAGGAAATATTCACTATAAAATTACAAACCATGTGCTTTTAATTGAGAAATGCATAGTAGAAAAAGGGAAAATGTAATCTAACTCTAGCAGAGAGAATAAATAAAAAAAAAAAAAAAAAATTATATATGAAACCTAATTTTACATTTACAGGGTTTGTACACTTTTCTGCACATGGAAATTAAGTACTTTTAAGGACCATTAATGAAAAAATTAAGGACGTATGAGCAAATGGGAACTAAACAAATTCAATTAAAAATACTATCTGTGCATGAACTTCTTTTGTAATACCATCTTAAAAATAAAAGTAGGATGCATTATAACTTAATTAACATAATTATTAATAAGTTATAGACTAAAATAAAACTTTATGAATTTGCCAGATACTTGCTCAGTCTAAAGGTTTAGTAAATAGTAGGTAGATTTTATGCCAAGCAACATAAGTTAAAATGAGATGTAAAATCATAATCAGCATGATTCGTAACAAAAGATTGGCTGTCGCTGCTGCTTGTCTAGAGAGAAACCTGCCAATCAGAACAAACCTGAAAGGCCTGATATAGGCCAGGCTGGCAAGTTTTGAAAGCTAGTTGGGCTCTACCTGATGCAGTTAGTGTCGTAGCTTCACGTTCCAGAGGTTGTAACCCAGTTAATATACATTAAGGTTTCAATAAGCCAATAAAGCACCAGGCGTGATCAGTTGCTTTGTATTATTTTAAGTTTCACCAGATGTGACGAATAAGTTTTACATTAATTTTCACATTTTTGTGTTTTCTCTTGTGACCCCAGTAAGGATTAATGAAAGGCAATAATTTGCTTTAATATGATAATTTTTAAGGGTAAGCAGTTAGTTATAAATAATTAAATTAAGTAATTAGATACCCTAACTCATTATAGATTTACATTGCCAGAATTTAGGATCCACAGAGATTGCATCAGGTGGGAAAATGCCTAGTGCCAGCCTCGTGTATGATGCATTCAGACATATACGAATCATTTAAATTGTCAGTTTTCAATTTCTTTACTAGAAAAAAATTCTTTATAAACGCCTTTCCTTGTGATAGAAAAACATTTTTGATATTTTCCA